ATATAGTGTGTGTGTGTGTGTGTGTGTGTGTGTGTGTGTGTGTGTGTGTGTGTGTGTGGAAGTATTGTACATGAATATTCAAAATTTCATATATTATGCGCTAGGCGGCGGAGGGTGGGAACCCGCTTCGGCTTTCCAGTTGACATCTGCTGGCCTGGATTCCTGAGCGTTACGAGCGCTATCCCGCACGCTTCGAGCCATCTCGAGGACCTCTTTGGGTAAGCCCGCCAGCTGCGCGACCTTCAACGCATGGGACTCGCGATTCACGCCCTGGCGCAGCCGATGGACGAACGAGAATGATCCCGAGGCCGTCTCCTTGACGTCCGTGCAGTACCGGCCGAGAGCGTCAAAGCCGTGCGTCATGTCTGCGAGCTCGTGGAAGTGAGTCGCAAATAGCGTGCGGCATCGGTTGCGATAGTGGAGATGGTGCAGACATGCGAAGCTGACGGCGGTGCCGTCTTCGGGGGTGGTGCCGCGGCCAACCTCGTCCATGATGACGAAGGAACGGGATGTCGCCTGCTGGAGGATAGCGGCTGTCTCGAGCATTTCCACCATGAATGTGGACTGGTCGCGGAAGAGATCGTCCGCCGCGCCGATGCGACTGAAGATCTGGTCTACGATCCCGATCTCGGCGTATTCGGCTGGGACGAACGATCCGACTTGCGCGAGAATCGTGATGAGTGCGTTTTGACGCAGGAAGGTGCTCTTCCCGGCCATGTTGGGCCCCGTAATGAGCCAGATACGCTCCGGATCGCCTAAGAAGCAGTCGTTGCTGACGAATCGTCGGCCCTGCTCTTCGAGGCCGAGTTTGACAGTCGGGTGTCGTCCTCCGACGATTTTGTGCGAGGTTCCCTTCGTCAGAATGGGTCTAACTAGGCGCTGTTCCTGTGCCAGTGTTGCAAATGAGCATGCGACGTCTAGTTCGTCCATTACGGCGGCATTGCGCCGGATCTTCACGAGATTGAGAATCACTTCGCGGCGAAGCCGTTCAAAGATCAGTTGCTCCTCTTGCCGAATTTGGAGTTTCACTTGGTCTGTTCGACTGCCGAGCTCGGTCCATGCAGGTAGGTAGAACGACCTGGTGGATTTAGTTGTGGAGACGTTTCGTGTCACTCCTAATTCTTCAAGCGCTTGTTGGGATACCTTGGTGCCTTTGACATGGCATATATGGCCGAGACCAGGCGTCCACTTGAGGGTCAGAGTAGCTGACCCGACGGAATCACGAAGACGCTGTGTCAAGCTGACCTTCTCATCCTGCAACTTGGCTAATGCTTGGTGGAGCTTACGTAGAGCTGGGCTTGCATCCCGTCTCATAATCCAGGTGTCGACGTCTGGTGGTTCATCGGTAGTTGTGCCCGCTCGGCTAGAGCCTTTGGACCGGACCTTCTTGGGCAAAGAGTCGAGGTCAGTGGGCAAGCCTTCATTCATTGTGACCTCCTGAGCGAGAATCGCCGCCTCTGCAGCAGTATCATCTTCAATCCGCTGCTTTCGGAGCAGCCCTTCTTCATCAATAGCAGCCAATATTTTCTCTGCGAGTATGGTAGGCCCATCCAAATGAAGCCGATTGGTCATAGCTGCAAGGCTATCGTTGGCTTGAGCGGATGAGGAGACGTCGAAGCCTGTGGCAGCAAGGACCCGCTTGATCTCTTTCGAAGCTTCTATAGCCCTTGAGAGACAAATCAGGTCATCTGGATCTCCCCGTCCAAGCGTGAACTTTTGGACCAGGCGCTGAGCGTCATAGCTACGTTTCAACAGTTGGGTCACACAATCACGTAGCTCACTGTTGGCGATGAAAGCTGACACAAGGTCAAGACGCTCGTTGATCACCGGTAAGGAAGTCGACGGAGAACCTAGACAATACGTTAGATTACAACTACGAAATGCTGGAGCCAATACAATGTGGAGGTGAGACATACTCAAGCGGTCCCTTAGGAGACGCGCTCCGCTTTTGGTGGAGGTGCGACGAACTGCATGCAGCAGACTCCCTTTACCGAAGCCGTCGCGAGCGGTTTCGAGAATCTCTAGTCCCCTCAAGCTATTGCGGTCAATATTCATGGATTCGCTTAAGTGCCGGCGACGAGGGGGCTGGAGCTTTAGATCTAAGCCCTGTAGTTGAACCCTGATGTACTCCAAAAGGCTATAACCGGCGGCGGTCTCCTCCGGCGTGAAAGATTTGATAGACTTAGGAGCGACGGGCGCTTCTAGCATCGAATCCCACCGAGACATGGGCAAGATGTCTCGGGGAAACGGGAAGAATGTCATCAGTCGATGATCATGCCCTACTAGCAGTTGCAGCTCCTGCCCGATCAAATCCTGAATGCCCTGATCAACCAAGATCTCGCGAGCACCAATCCTTGCAATAGCCGACGGAAGCATTTGCGCTGTCGTAGACTGGGTAAAAAAGTCACCAGTAGAAAGGTCTAACCAGGATAAGCCTACGGGCTGAGACGCCGATGACAGTACATGTTGATGCGACGAGACATCATGTTGCTGCTCTAGTTGTGCTTTCAAGGACGGTTCATCTATGTATATGGCTAGAAGAAAATTGTTTTCCGCAGGATCCATGAACTTCTCGTCAATCAATGTGCCTGGTGTGATAATTCTGGCGACTTTTCGATCGAAGAGAAGCCCCCCCGCACGAGCTTTGTCCTCCGCGCCGTGTGCGAATTCCTCGCTGATGGCGACGTACTTATTGAGATCTTGTACAAGGGTTTTCAAGAAGCGGTCCAACTGGAAGAACGGGAAACCCGCCATGGGAACAGGACCGGCGCTGGTCTTCTTGGAAGCAAGCTTGATATTGAGCAATGGAGCGAGCTCCTCAGCTTGCTCGAAATACAGCTGGAATCAGGTTAGGAATGGGCATTTACGGGCTGAGGGCCTCAGCGAGTAGGTGGATTCTCTCCGGATTCGCTGTCCATACCTCATAAAAGCCTCCAACCCTGGTAAGGATAACACAATTCTGGAACTTCGCCATATTATTCCTATGTCCTTGCACGACCGGTGGGTATCGTGGGGCATCTTCTACGGTATCATGATAAGGTTCTAGCTTCAATGCCCCTTGTGGTAGATCCCTTAATTTCACAGTAGAGCGCGTTTTGGCACCCCGTTGGAGCGTGAGGGTTGGAGCCGGAGAAGGCATCGCGACGCGCAGCGATGGACGGCCGGCATGATGGCAGATGGTTCGGTGTACCTGGCAGTGATACGGGAATATAAGATCGGTTTTGCCGAGCGGAGAGATGCGCGACGGAATCCAGTGTGAAATCCGACTGCCATAAATTGGCATGATCCCAGTGTGAATCGAACGTTGGAGAGACGTCGTTTGGCTTCGTCGCGAGCTTCACGAAAGAGCTTAAGGTTTATTTGCTTGGGCGCGCGAAAAAGGTAAAGCGTTGATCATTGCCTGAGGCAACTATCGCCAAACCTTCCGTCTTCGCCACTGAAATCTGCTCGACGAGAACTTCGGAAGCGGAACTCTCAAACGCAACAACTCTTCAACACCGCGAACCATCCCACGCAGCTTGCGGCCCTGCACCAACGAGGAAGCTTGTCTGCTGCAGGAGGATGCTCCAGGTTTGTGAAATCTTCTGGAATCTCATATAATTGCAGGATTCATTTCTCGTCGCAGGAGTGTCGACGCGCCGGTTGATCGTGAGCTCCACCGAGCCCAGACGACTTATTCCAGTCGGAACACGATCACATTTGATTGCGATCCCTTTCTTTCTTTTCTTGCACAGTTAATCGCATTATAATACCATCAAGATGGCGGACCAAAATATTTCCCAGTATAAGTACTCGGCGATGTCCAACCTGGTTCTCCAGGCGGACCGTCGTTTCATTTCTCGCATCAACGATGAACCTACCGGCGACCCAGAGTCCCTCGCAGGTCGGATTAGTATTCGGGAAATGGGCGGCCGAATGGCGCGTGATGATGCGCCAAAGACGAAAAAGAAAGCCGGTCTGACCGAGATCGAGCGAGGTTCGATTCGAGAAGGCGAGGACGTACTCGCCCGAGAACAAAAGAAGCGCCAACGAGGCCAACCTGCACAATTACGAGGTCAAGGTATCCTTTCGGCTGCCGATGCTGTTGTCGAAGGGTTGAAATACCGCCCCCGGACGCCTGCCACCCGAGCCACATATGATCTTATCCTTACCATGACCGCAAACCATCTTGGCGATGTTCCTCATGAAGTCGTACGAAGTGCTGCCGATGCCGTGCTGGAGTACCTGAAGGATGAGGAAATGAAAGATTTCGATAAGAAGAAGGAGATTGATGACTTGCTTGGCAGTTCTATGAACCCTAAAGAATTCAATGAGCTTGTGAATTTGGGCAAGAAGATCACCGATTATGAAGCGCAAGACGAAGATGAAGATATGGACGGTGGTCTTCTGGGTGAAGGCGAAGAGGAACTTGACGAACGCCAAGGTGTTGCCGTCGTTTTCGACGAGGAAGACGAAGATGACGAGCGGATGGGCACTGTCAATGAAGTGCGAGACGAGGATGAGTTGTCAGACGAGGACGAGGCAGATCAGCAAGACGCACCCGACGCTGACGAATTAAACGCCGACAAGGCAGACGCCGATGGTCTCGACGCCGAGGAAATGGTAATAGACGGCGGCGTGGACCGTGGTGGTAATCGAGGGGATAAAGCACTCAACGTTTCCGCTCGTGAAATTGATGCCTACTGGCTTCAGCGCGAGATCGGTAAAGCATACTCAGATGCCCATATCCAACAAGAGAAGGCTACGGAGGCACTTGAGATCCTTGGTGGTAAAGGCGAGGACGGCGCTGAGAAGCCACTCCGTGATGTGGAAAACGATCTAATGGAGCTCTTCGACTATGACTATCCGGATCTCGTTGCTAAACTGGTTACGAACCGTGACAAGATTGTTTGGACCACTCGGTGGCGTAGGGTGGCTGAAGATGCGGATGCCCGCCACTTGGTTGAGAGCGAAATGGTCGAAGCCGGTCATCGTGCCATTTTGGATGAAATTCGAGGAAAGACAGCTCGTGATGACGGAAGCAGTCGCCCTGAGAAAAAGATCAAGCTCGACCTTATGGATGTTGATGTACCAAATGCTCCTGCCCCAGAAGAAAAGCCAGCCGATGGCGGCTTGGTCCGAGGCCTTCAGCCCAAACGGCTGATCAATCTGGAAAACCTCGTCTTCCATCAAGGAAATCACTTGATGACAAACCCCAGTGTCAAATTACCCCAAGGTTCGACCAAGCGGACATTCAAAGGATACGAAGAGATTCATGTACCGCCTCCCAAAGCGAAGAGAGACCCCGGAGAGAAGAACATCCCGACCACGGAACTTCCCGAGTGGGCGCGGGTTGGTTTTGGAAGCTCGAAGGAACTCAACCGTATTCAGACCAAGTGTTTCCCTTCGGCTTTCCATGATGATGGTAACATGCTTGTCTGTGCGCCTACAGGATCCGGAAAGACAAATGTCGCCATGCTCACCGTCCTCCGAGAGATTGGAAAGAACCGTAACCCTCAGACGGGTGAAATCATGCTGGACGATTTTAAGATTGTTTTTATCTCCCCCTTGAAAGCCTTGGTTCAGGAGCAAGTCGGAAACCTTGGCAAGCGTTTGGAGCCCTATGGCATCAAAGTCGCCGAACTCACCGGCGATCGCCAGCTTACAAAGCAGCAAATTGCGGAAACTCAGGTCATTGTTACGACCCCAGAGAAGTTCGATGTGGTTACGAGAAAGGCATCAGAGACGAGCTATATTAAGCTTGTGCGGCTTATTATCATTGATGAGATCCATCTTCTTCACGACGATCGTGGCCCTGTCATCGAAAGCATCGTAAGTCGGACCATTCGCAAGGGCGAGCAGACTGGTGAACCTGTCCGAATTGTTGGTCTGAGTGCCACCCTCCCTAACTACCGGGATGTGGGAAGCTTCCTGAGAGTGGACCCCGTAAAAGGCCTATTCCATTTCGATGGCTCCTATAGGCCTTGTCCGTTAAAGCAGGAGTTCATTGGTGTTACAGACAAGAAGGCCATCAAACAATTGAAGACCATGAATGATATCTGTTATAATAAGGTCATCGAGCAAGTCGGGCAGCGTAGGAACCAGATGCTTATCTTCGTTCACTCTCGGAAAGAGACTGCCAAGACTGCGAAGTATATCCGAGACAAGGCCTTGGAGATGGAGACTATTGGTCAAATCTTGCGAAGCGATGCTGCTAGCCGAGCCATTTTGGCCGAAGAAGCGGAGTCGGTAGATGATGCATCGCTTAAGGATCTACTTCCCTACGGTTTCGGTATCCATCATGCTGGTTTGAGTCTTGCCGACCGTGACTCAGTCCAGGCACTCTTTGCAGACGGCAGCATTCAGGTTTTGGTTTGTACCGCGACTCTTGCTTGGGGTATTAACCTTCCTGCACATACAGTCATCATCAAGGGCACCCAGGTTTATTCTCCAGAGAAGGGTAGCTGGGTTGAACTCAGTCCTCAAGATGTCCTGCAAATGTTGGGAAGAGCTGGTCGACCGCAATATGACACTTTCGGCGAAGGTATCATCATCACTTCTCAGACTGAAATTCAGTACTACCTTTCCCTCATGAATCAACAACTTCCTATCGAGAGTCAGCTTGTAAGCAAACTTGCGGATAATATGAATGCCGAGATTGTTCTTGGAAATATCCGGACGCGTGATGAGGGCGTTGACTGGTTGGGTTACACCTACCTCTTCGTCCGTATGCTCCGCTCTCCTGGGCTGTATAGTGTTGGTGCCGATTATGAGAACGACGATGCTTTAGAGCAGAAGCGCGTTGACCTCGTCCACTCTGCGGCAGTGATCTTGGAGCGGGCAGGACTTGTGAAATATGAGAAGAAGACTGGCCGTCTTCAGTCTACCGAGCTGGGCCGGGTCGCTTCGCATTATTACATTGGCCACAACTCCATGTTAACGTACTCTCAGCATCTTCAGCCATCAGTTACTACCATTGAGCTCTTCCGAATCTTCGCTCTTAGCGATGAGTTTAAGTATATCCCTGTCCGTCAGGATGAGAAGCTTGAACTGGCGAAGCTTCTGGGCCGTGTGCCAGTTCCTGTCAAGGAAGGTATTGATGAGCCTCATTCGAAAATCAATGTTTTGCTACAGGCTTATATTTCGAGGCTGAAGCTCGATGGCCTTGCTTTGATGGCAGACATGGTTTATGTCACCCAATCTGCTGGTCGTCTTCTGCGAGCTCTATTCGAGATTGCGCTAAGGAAGGGTTGGTCGTCTGTTGCCAAGACAGCTCTCGACCTCTGTAAGATGGCTGAACGACGCATGTGGCCGACAATGACACCTCTTCGTCAGTTCCCATCCTGCCCCAGGGACATTATGCAAAAGGCCGAAAGAATTGATGTGCCGTGGGCAAGCTATCTTGACCTTGATCCTCCGCGCATGGGTGAGCTTCTGGGTATGCCGAAGGCCGGACGTGTTGTCTGCGACCTTGTGTCCAAGTTCCCTCGTTTGGAAGTCCAAGCACAAGTTCAACCAGTGACACGGTCCATGCTACGCGTTGAATTGACCATCACACCCAACTTTGTTTGGGACGAGGCTTTGCACGGAACCGCGCAGGATTTCTGGATTGTAGTGGAGGACTGTGATGGCGAGGAAATCCTTTTCCACGATCAGTTCATACTTCGCAAAGACTATTCGCAGTCGGAGATGAACGAGCATCTTGTTGAGTTCACAGTTCCTATCACGGAGCCGATGCCCCCCAATTACTTCATTTCACTCATCTCCGATCGTTGGATGCATTCCGAAACGAAGATCGCTGTCTCCTTCCAGAAGTTGATTCTCCCAGAGAGATTTCCCCCGCATACTCCTCTATTGGCCATGCAAAGTGCTCCCGTTAAGGCACTGAAGCGTGATGAGTACCAGAACTTATACTCCGATTGGCAGTATTTTAATAAGATCCAAACGCAGACCTTCAAGTCGCTCTTTGATACAGATGATAATGTCTTCATCGGTGCTCCTACTGGAAGCGGAAAGACTGTATGCGCGGAACTTGCGATACTGCGTCATTGGGCTAAGGAGGATAGCGGCCGCGCTGTCTATCTTGCCCCCTTCCAGGAACTGGTCGATCAACGACACGCTGACTGGGAGAAGAGGCTGAGCAAACTCGCCGGTGGCAAGACTATTGTTAAGCTTACTGGGGAGACTACAGCGGACCTGAAGCTCCTGGAGCGGGCAGACCTTGTCCTCGCCACCCCAGCACAGTGGGACATCCTCTCTAGGCAATGGCAGAGGCGTAAGAATGTACAGACTGTGCAGCTCTTCATCGCCGATGAGCTCCACATGCTGGGAGGCTATGGGGGCTATGTTTATGAGGTCGTGGTGTCGCGCATGCACTCAATCGCCCTTCAGCTGGAGAATGGCATGCGTATCATTGGTCTGAGTGTGTCGCTCGCTAACGCTCGGGATATTGGTGAATGGATTGGTGCCAACAAACATACCATCTACAATTTCAGCCCCCATGCCCGTCCAGTTCCTCTGGAACTCCATATTCAGTCCTTTAGCATCCCTCATTTCCCCTCCCTCATGTTGGCGATGGCCAGACCGGCATATTCTTCGATCTTGCAGCTCTCACCTGACAAGCCCGCAATCATTTTCGTGCCAAACCGCAAGCAGACCCGTTCTACCGCCATGGATCTGCTGGCCGCTTGTGCCACCGATGACAATGAAGACCGATTCTTGAATGCCGATGTCAACGAATTGGCGCCGCTGCTTAACCGGGTCCAGGAGCAGACTTTGGCCGAGTCACTGTCTCACGGTATCGGATACTATCACGAGGCATTGAGTCCTACAGACAAGCGGATTGTCTCCCACCTTTTCTCGATTGGTGCTATTCAAGTGCTCCTTGCTTCACGCGACGTGTGCTGGGAGCTCAATCTCACAGCACACTTGGTAATCGTCATGGGAACGCAGTTCTTTGAAGGCCGCGAACATCGGTATATCGATTATCCTATCAGCGAAATTCTGCAAATGTTTGGTAAGGCCTCTCGCCCTGGCGAAGATAAGATTGGCCGAGGCGTGCTCATGGTTCCGTCCGTCAAACGGGAATACTACAAGAAGTTCCTTAATGAGGCGCTTCCTGTGGAGAGCCATTTGCAGGCTTACTTGCATGATTCTTTCGTGACCGAAATCAGCACCAAAGTCGTTGCCTCTACCCAGGATGCCGTCGACTGGATGACGCACACATACTTCTACCGCCGCCTCCTGGCTAACCCCAGCTTCTACGGTCTCACTGATGTCAGCTACGAGGGCCTCAGCACATTTTTGTCAGAGCTTGTAGAGAACACTTTGAAGGAACTTTCTGAAGCCAAGATCATCGATTTGGATGAAGAAGACGATAGTGTTTCACCTCTTAATGCCGCCATGATCGCAGCTTACTACAATATCTCTTTCATCACTATGCAGACCTTCCTCCTTTCCTTGTCGGCTCGCACCAAACTCAAGGGTATTCTGGAGATTGTCACATCTGCTACGGAGTTCGAGTCCATCCAGATGCGTCGCCACGAGGATCACATTCTGCGCCGCGTGTACGACCGGGTGCCAGTCAAGATGTCCCAGGCTGCTTACGACTCCCCACACTTCAAGGCCTTTGTTTTGCTGCAAGCTCACTTCTCGCGCATGCAACTCACCATTGACCTGGCGAAGGATCAAGAAGTCATCGTTAGCAAGGTTCTCAACTTGCTTAGCGCGTGTGTGGACGTCCTCTCCTCGGAAGGCCATCTAAATGCTATGAACGCCATGGAGATGTCCCAGATGGTTGTCCAGGCCATGTGGGATCGGGATAGCCCTCTCAAGCAGATCCCTCACTTCAGCCCCGAAGTGATCAAGGTGGCTAATGAGTTCGGCATCAACGACATCTTTGAGTTTATGGAAGCTATGGACCCGTCGGAGAACAAGGATTACGCTACACTGGTCAAGCGTCTTGGTCTTGACAACAAGCAATTGGCACAGGCAGCAGCCTTCACTAACGACAAATACCCCAACATTGATGTCGACTTCCAGGTCGAAGATCCGGACGATATCACCGCTGGCGAGCCTGCGTACCTCAAGGTCAAGATCGAACGGGAAGTTGAAGAAGATGAGGAACCCGATATGACGGTGCACGCCCCCTTCTACACTAACAAGAAGATGGAGAACTGGTGGTTGGTCGTGGGAGATGAGAAGACCAAGAACTTGCTTGCGATCAAGCGAGTTACCGTTGGGCGGAAGTTGGAGTTGCGTCTCGAATACATCGTTCCTACCCCTGGCGAGCATGAATTGACATTGTACCTGATGAGCGACAGCTATGTGGGTGTTGACCAAGCACCAACTTTCAATGTCACCGCCGCCGAGGGGATGGAAGAAGACGAGAGCGAAGAAGACGAGGAGTAAAGACGAGAGTTCATGAAGAGATATTTTGATTTATTCGTTACTCTAGGGTTGACCTTTGTATGATGACTTTACCTTGGTCCATGTTTGTGTAATTATAAGCTGTAATGTGGAAAGAAAAAAAAACCCCCCATCTAGAGGCTCGGGAATTCTTAGTATGAGGATTGAGTCATGTGCACTACCTATCAGTACTAGTAGTAGCTCATTACCCAATTCGGGTTGCGGTGGGTTGAATCATGGATGATTTTCAGTTTAGCGTCGATGGGGACCAAGTGGGGATAGCGCAGCGTGACCCATCATCCCATGATCTCCGCATTTAATGCTCTGCTTCTCCAACAAGGTCCGCCTTTTCTCCTTCTCACGCCACCTGGTCTCCTTTGCTTCTCCCCTTCTAACTCTCCTGAAATCCTCTCTCATCACTCCCCGCGGATCCTCCACTATCTCTTTCACCATATATATAGCTCCTTTCTTATAAACCTACCCACCTGCGGCCCAGTGGGTACCTACTGTCCTATACTAGTTAATTGGAGATCTGTCATGACCATTCGTCCAATGAAGTTCACACCAGAGTGAGTTCACAGTTCCCCCTTTCACTGCTCTTGTTAAGAGCATAACAATATATGTCATATATATCAATCGTCTTTCCGATGCCTATTGGCTCAACAGATTGTTAACTTGGTCGCTCTTACAGGCTCCTACTGGGAGCTCCTCGGCGGTCCGCTGCCGTGCCCAATTCATCTGGCACTCTGGCTGTGTATACCCAAACCTCCTACTCCTTCGAGTCGCATGCAAAGACCAACGAAATACGAGTAGTGGATATCACCACAGGCCGATCTTCTCTAATCACAAACGATCCAAGTGCGAGCTCTCCGCAGTGGCTGGGGACCGATGACCGTTTAATATGGCTCAAAACAAAGTCAAATGGCAATACAAGCTTCATAATCGGTCATGCTCGAGAGGCGGGCAAGACATACACTGCTGGAACAGTCCCCGGACCAGTGGCCAATCTCAAGGTCACCGTCATTGAGTCGGGAAAGATTGGGTTCGCTGTAACTGGCCAGGCGAATCCGGATGGGTCCCTTTATAACCCTCATGATGCTAAAAAGCCTCACACTACCGGGAAACTATACTCCTCATTATATGTCAGGCATTGGGACTCGTACATCGAACCCCAGAGGAATTCGATCTGGTACGGCCTATTACAACAAACCCCGTTGACCCCTGCTACCAGACATGCAGGCAAGTACTCAGCTTCGGCTTTAACAAACCTGATCTCAGTATGCGGTTTAACGGGCGTTGAATCGCCAATCCCACCCTTTGGCGGCTCTGGGGATTTTGACATCAGCCCCTCCGCAATTGTCTTCGTAGCTAAGGATCCTAATGAGAACCCTGCCACACACACCTCCTGCTCATGTTATTATTGTCCCATGTTTTCTTGGACTGGCGTGACTGCATTGGAATCTCAAAAGATATGTGCAGTCAAGGGCCTTCAAGGAGCCATGTCTTCTCCCGTCCTCTCCTCAGATGGCAGCTCCATCGCTCTCCTTGCAATGAGGGAAGACGGTTACGAGTCTGATAAGAACAGAATACTCTATGTGCCCAACCCCTGGAGTGGAGAGATGATAGAGGCTTTCGCGTCTCCGGATGGAGAGGGTTTGTGGCATCTAAGTCCATCGGCCGTGACATTCGCAAACGACGATCAGGCCCTGTTGGTTCAAGTAGAGGAGAACGGCCGTGGTGTTCTATACCAGCTTCCTCTAGCCAACTTCCGTCATTCTCGCCCCTCTGCGCTGAAGAAGCTGACACACTCGGGCTATGTGACTGATGTGTTCCCTGCATCAGCCAAATCATCCAAGCTACTCGTCGCGAGCAACAACTTGGTAGAAAACAGCCGGTGGACGATCATCGACCCGCAGTCTCCTGAGAGCCCCAAGGTCATATCTTCGCTTTCCCGTGGCGGTGCTGCCTTTGGGCTGTCCCCGGCGCAGGTCGATGAAATTTGGTTCAGGGGAGCCGAGGACCACCCCGTTCATGCCTGGGTTGTGAAGCCATCCGACTTCCAGCCTGGTAACAAATATCCCCTCGCTTACCTGATTCATGGAGGTCCGCAAGGAGCATGGAATGATCAGTGGAGCACGCGCTGGAATCCTGCTGTTTTTGCTGAGCAAGGGTATGTGGTCATCACCCCCAACCCCACAGGCAGTACCGGCTACGGACAGGCATTTACAGATGCAATCTGTGGTTCCTGGGGAGAACGTCCCTACATCGATCTCGAAAAGGGATTCGACTATATTGAGAAGAACTTGGACTATGTCGATACAACGCGAGCTGTGGCCCTGGGGGCGTCATTCGGTGGGTATATGGTAAACTGGATCCAGGGCCATGACTTTGGTCGCCGATTTAAGGCTCTTGTGACCCATGATGGTATCTTCAGCATGCGGGCACTGTTGAGCACCGAAGAGCTCTACTTCCCTGTTCGAGACCTCCAAGGCCCCTACTGGAAAGTCCCAGAGAACTGGGACAAGTGGGATCCGTCCCGATTCACAGGAAACTGGCAAACCCCCCACTTGGTCATCCATAACGAACGGGATTATCGGTTGACGATTGCAGAGGGACTTAGTGCCTTCAATGTCTTGCAGATGAAGGGTGTGGAGAGTCAATTTTTGACGTTCCCTGATGAGAATCATTGGGTACTAAACCCAGAGAATTCCCTCATGTGGCACCGCACCATCTTCAACTTCATCAACAAGTTTGTTGGGCTGCCGTCGGAAAGCAGGACAGATCTGGAAAATGGCGTGGCTACTATGTCTCTGTAATGAATTGATTATTCCCGCTCGGCGCAACTGCAGTGCGAGCTTTGTGCTGCCGGGTGGCGCTTTCAAAGTCGAAGGGGCGGGATACATAATGATTTATATAGTTCAATGCACCTTTTTGATCCCGATTGAAACCACTATTCATCACTCTCGTTGACACCTTGTCCATGAACAAAGGACACAACGGCGTTGGACTAAGCTTCTCCGCTTACAGTGAAACCCCGTTCGACCCAGAACAAAGGCTCTATAATAATGGTCCGATAGAAGCCATCATTGAGCCCATGCAGGACAAAGAGTTCTTTCTCCGCGAGCCTCTGCTGAGACTGTCGCACAATATATAGCGAGCCAACCGCTATGGCCTGATCTGCCAACGTTTATTTACACTGTTCTGACACGCGCTTCTATACGCGAAGACCGGGTGCTTTCTGGAAACCACCGATCCGCATTCCGAGTGAATAACCGGCTCTAGTGCTTGGGAGCCTCTACAGTATGCCAGAGGCCAGGGCTTCTTCACCTCTTTCTCACACCATGCCGATTCTGCCAGTATTGTTACTCCAGAACGCCCAGTGACATGCTTGTCACATCCCACCATGCGCTCAGCAGGCGCAGGACCGACGGCCGATGACAGACGCAGATGGCACCACCCATGCTTTGTCCCAACTGTTACCCACTTACGGACTCCCCTGTATCCTCTGGTATCCAGCACTACCGCCCTCGCCCACCCAGACTTCCCTACTACCCTGCTTGCCTACCATCTCCTGACTTCTCGACAACTAGATGAGCTTGCCATTCATTATCATCAAGTGTGGCCACCAGCCCCCGCGACCTCTTACTATCCCGTAGTCATCCCACCCTGGGTTGGCACAGAAAACGAAAAGAACGTGGACATTGAGACGAAGCGGCGGCGGTTCGGTCGGTTCATCGGGCTCCAGCGTTGCGAGACCCCCGCGGAAGAACAGGAATCATACTCATGGGGAATGGAACAAGAAACCGAAACAGAGCTGCTGGAGCTGATTGATCAGGAGTGGAACGAAAGTTGAATATCATTCATCGATTCAAGCATGGGAAGGCTTTATGTGACCAAAGTCCTAATAGTGAGTCGCTCCCTTTAGTACCTCGTTCCAGATCCGAACCTCCAAACTTATGTCATGCAAGGCTTCGTTTTTGTTCTTCATTGGGCTTAGACAAGCCTAGTCGTCTGGTCACTCCAGGATTCTACATAGACTGTTCCTTGATTAAGTCCAGGGCCTGTGGCCTTCTTTGAACGACGTGCTAGCTATGGGCAGAAATATGTATTGCAAATATCACGAGCCCTGTAGCCAGTCACTTTTCTCAGTCGCGTTTATTGATTCTTGTCATTCATTCAATGTTGTGCCCTACTTTGACGCTCTTTTATGATTTCATTACCTTGCACGATAGGCTGTCCTTTGAAGATGTTACACTTCTTCCTAGCATCACATTCCTCGATAGAAGATATGTATTTAATGGGATAATAAATTTGGCGAGCCAGAGACTCACTCAAGTCATGTTCCGTACTTAGTAGCTCTCATCAGGAATTTCAGCTTCGTTAAGTGAGTCCATAGACTTAGCCTCGCATTTATCCACAGCTCACCCGCCAGGTACACACAGAAACCAGCCAAGTTTTCCCGTCACGGCGCCACGCAGCCCTAACGATAACTGACGGAAACCATTTATCCGCGGGGTAAACTTGCGGGGAAAGCTCTTGGTATGCATGTTTAGGCTGTCCGGCTAAACAACACGGCCTACCATATAAAGAACAACATTATCGATAATCAAGTACAGCTTCATATCCCCACCCCCAAATACTCGCACAAAGGACAAAATCCACAGTTCCCACGAACAATTACAATACACACTCAAAATGTCTAATTCCAACCCCCCTCTAATAACCCACATCTACACCGCCGACCCTTCCGCCCACGTCTTCAACAACAAGCTCTACATTTACCCGTCCCACGACCGCGAAACAGACATCCAATTCAATGACAATGGCGACCAATACGACATGGCAGACTACCACGTCTTCTCCATGGACTCCATTTCCGGCCCCGTAACAGACCACGGCGTCGTCCTGGGCCTCTCCGGCGTTCCCTGGGCAAGCAAACAGCTCTGGGCACCCGATGCGGCCACCAAGAACGGGAAATACTATCTCTACCTGCCTGCCCGCGACCACGACGGCATATTCCGGATCGGGGTCGCTGTGGCCGACAAACCGGAGGGACCGTTCACGGCCCAGAAGAGCTATATCGCGGGGAGTTATAGTATCGATCCTGCGTCCTTTGTGGATGATGATGGGAAGGCGTATCTTTATTTCGGGGGCATCTGGGGCGGGCAGTTACAATGTTGGTCGAAAGATGCCGAGGCTGCCGGGGAATGGGTGTTTGATGCTTCGAAGACGGGCCCCAGGAGCCGTCTGGTGAGAATGTGGTTGCCCTCCACCCGCGTGTTGCGCAGTTGACGGATGATATGCTGGGGTTTGCGACGCCTGTGCAGGAACTGGTTATCCTGGATGAGGCTGGAGGCAGCCCTCTCAAGGCAGATGATCATGAGCGACGCTTTTTCGAGGCCTCCTGGATGCATAAATATAATGGGACATATTATTTCAGTTATTCGACCGGGGACACGCATTATATTGCGTATGCGACTGGAGAGAGTCCGTTGGGTCCGTTTCGGTACAGGGGTCGGATCTTAGAGCCGGTGTTAGGGTGGACGACGCATCATTCTATTGTGGAGTTTGGGGGACGGTGGTGGATCTTTTATCATGACTGTGAGCTTTCCAAGGGAGTGAGTCATCTGAGGAGTGTCAAGGTTCGAGAGATTGGGTATGATGATCAAGGGGATATTTATTTGGTGGACTGAGTGGGTGGGTAAAACTTTAGTGGGTGGATTGTAATTGTATTGAGCCCTTGGTTGTTCGATAGAAATGAATATAGGGTTTGCGTATGATTTATTGCGTACTGCAGGTCTAATGCGCCATTCCCTTTTCCTGGTTCTCGACGACGAGGTTCCAGTATTTCTCGCGGCTACGTGTGCGGAGTGTCTTGCCGTATTTGATCATGACGAGGAAGACGGCTGCGCAGGCCATGCCAATAAATGCAGCGGAGATGAAGCAGTTTTGGTAGCCCATGTTGTCGATCCAGGGGGTGATGCTGTGTCCCGTTAGCATGCGCCGCTATTTTTGGATGGTGAATGAATGACATGCCCGTAGCCGATGGCGAAAGACATCGTGTTGCGAACTAAGATGATACTTGTCATTGCGTCACCACTTAGCTCCCGGTAGCTGTCCACGAGGTAGTTCACACTCAGGGTGACACCGCACGTATTCGCCATCGCGAGAAGGCACATCGCTACTAGGAGGCCAAACCAGTGGACCTGGTGCGCTGCGCCGACTCCCCAGAGTATCAATGAGCCCGGGAGGATGACGAGACAGACAAGGAACGGCCAGAGACGGTGTTCGGCTTCCATCACTCCATTATTCCGTCGAGCGAGTCGGATCGTTAGCCAGTCGCTGAATCTACCGGTGAAGATAGCACTATGTATTAGTTAGCATTGCATTCTTGGGAGGATGGATATCCACCTTGAAGGTGGGGAGACTTACCCAAGAGCTACCCCGAGACAACATGCAATGTAGGAAAGACCGACAATTGCAGTGCTTTTTCAGTAAGAAATGTATCCAATTGGCTGTCTAGGGTTAAGTACCTGAAGTTGTATGGAGCAGAGCCCAGAATAATTGAGGCAGTCGCGTTCAACACATTGAAAAAAATCAAGTACGAGCCATATGAGAAGCTGTTTCGCAAGTTACCTTTGCAAGCTTCCAATGGACTGGGACTTCTAAACTTACCCTGCGTAAAACACAACTGGCCAGCTCAAGTAATATAAAGCATGCCAGAGCCGTCTAAGCATGTGATTTTTGGGCTGACGCGGCCCCAGAAGTGACAGCTTCTGGATGTAAGTTTTCTTATTGTATACGTTGTATACTTCACCGGCCTCTGTGTCGGTATGTCGAGTATCAGCAGGATCAGCCTTCTCTTGCTTCTCTTTCTCGGATGCTGAAGTAGGTGGATTCACTAGGTGAGCAGAGGTGGTACGTTGGACACCTTCACGCGCATAATTCGTCTCCTCCATGCAGAAGAAAAGAAACGCAGCGGTGACGGCACAGAAAATGGCAGGGTAATAAAATACCCATTGCCAGCCCTGGTACTCGGCAATGAAGCCACATATGACTGGGGCAAAATAGTTACTGCCGGCCAGGAAGAAGGCATACAGACCCATGTACGTCCCACGCTCGTGCGTGAAGTACTAGTCCCGTCAGATTGGGTTGCGACGATGTCTCATTAGGATACGCACCACATCCGTGACTGTTATTTCAGGAAGGGCCTCAATGGGTGCCAAGAAAAATCCAGTCACCACGCTACGAGCGATCCATTGTCCATTGCTCGTTATATAAGGACTGGCCAGTCAGTGTCAATTGATCAAGTTGAGGGTGGAGCTGTACATACCCCCAGATCAGCGTGCCCTAACCGTATAACCATGTCAGAAGTACACTTCATCTGTCATCATTGGGACTTACCATCATTCCGATCAATGAGACTATGTATGTCAGTCGCTTGCCATACTGCAATGCAAATGGCTGCCAAAATAGTAGGCCCCATCCTGCGAGCAGGAACATATATCCCGTTCCTTCATTTAAAGTACTAACAGAAACACCTGTCTCCTCGGAGAGTGGAACGAGTACGGAGTAGACAACTGAGCATGCAATGCCTGCGAACAAGGTATACCTTTAAATCCAAAAGGAGATTAGCTTGTGCTCAACATGTGTCATTACAGGTGCTGCGAGGACTTACGAGCTGACGCAGATGGTCGACAGCAACTTTCGTCGTGGCGACCAGTTTAGTGGGTCATCAGGATCATCCGAAGGCTGGGGAACGAGGATGATATCACTGTTTCCCCCGTCCAGATGTCGTGTGGCCAACGTATGCTCCAAATCCACCAGGGTAAATGTGCCCGGGATGGCATTTCTGTCCACGTCTGGCGTCATGCTGAAATGGGCACTGTGGAATACCCCGTTGTGTTTCAAATGATGGAATGAAAAGATAGATCTAATTGACTACAGACAGGTGCATGACCTCCCTGCTATATTCAGGGGTCAACCCTGTGTAAGAGCGGCGTACGGACGGTAATAAATGGATCACTTCACAACGCATCCCTTGCGGCGGAATCAGACGCGCAACTCTGATCTGCGCTTCGACCTATCAATCTCATGCCCACTATCGAATATTCTCCGGTTAGCCGAAAGTCCGGCAATCTCGAGAGGGGTTAAGCATTTGCACCACTTTCTGGATCAGCAAGGCGGGATCCATTCGCCTATTCCGGCCCTCGATCTTGGACGCAGTCGACGCTACGTGAAGGCAAATTGATAACAACACATTCGCATCGATCCCTGATGAATCCAATGCGGAGATGAAGGAAAGTCCCTTGAATGACTCGTATCTGGTGGGGTGTGGTCAGGGAACCGGGACATTCATTCGATAGCATGGAAGTAAGTGATAGTCCGGGTGTTGGAACTATCAACGGAATTCTTTCCGGGGATGACGCTTAGACACACCAATCACTATAGCGCGGTGCTGGTAGCGAATAAACATGCATTGCATGGCGGCTATCATCCATTCCTTGATCACCTGCCACTTCACTACCCTAACTAGTCATAAACTAATAACATTCTCGTTCGTTCTTATCTTGCTTTCCAAAGGTGTCCTGTGCCGAGTCCTACCGAGATAAACTCTTTTGTTCCTTATCATCGATCTCTACTGTAACTATGGTCTAATATAGATCCTTATCTTCCTATTTCCCCTCCCAATAGGACCAGGCCAGGCTGTTTCACTGCGTACGCACCAAAGATTATGTACTCACCGAACCCCTAAGGCTGTCCAAGGACAGATGGAACTGTTTTCCTGACGAGGAGTGGAAGTCCTGTGCACCACATCCGTGTCACATTGAACCTCCCATTATCCAAATTCTGGCCTGTATATAACTCTCACGCTCTAGTTTCCTTCTTATATGAGGCGACACCACACAATTTGGAATAGATATTCATCATATCAGAGTTGAGCATCATGATAGCTACTAAAGAACCCCCACAAAAGCAACTCTCGTATATCGAGACCGAGGATATCTTTGACCCCGAAGTATGCCCTCGCGGGACTTGCATCTTTCTCTCGGCTATTCTAACAAGATAGCTTTTAGACTCACCTTAATTATACTCCTCCTGCTTCCCTACTCACCATGGAAGACTTAGGCTTGAACGGCCCCAAAACATCAACCTCAATAGCAGGAAGTGCTCCCTTCCCTTTCCTCTCTGAGACAGGCGTGCGTGCCTATCGACGATGTCTGATGCGGCCTCATATCCTAAAAGCCTGTGCGAAGTCATATGGCGCTGGGACATTTATTCTTCGGAATTTAGCCCAACATTCCAAATTTATCTCTGACCTCTGGACGCATCCGGAGACAATGAGAATTGTGTCTGAAGTTGCTGGCGTGCCACTGACCATAATCATGCCAACAGAAATTGGTCACACAAATATCCAAACTTCTGGCTGTACCGTGGATGATTTGACCAGGGAGCTTGAGGTGGAGCCAAGAGCGAGTCGCGCCTGTGTGGATAAGGAGGATGGTTATGATCCGCTTAGGGAGAGTGCGGTTATACCTTGGCAGTAGGCTCTATTTCTTTTCCGTCTCTCTCCTGCTCTCTATCGTTTCTTTCTGTCTCCCTTTCCAAGCATGGCGCTGCGTGCTAACGAAGGAAAGCTACGACTCTTACCCGTACGTCGCGGTCCTGATGCTCAGCGATACTACACATATGACCGGGGGAGAAACCTATATCAAGAAGGGAGATGGAAGCGCAGTAAAGGTATATAGCCACCGACCTATGGTGTCAGTAGTAGTTCCATAAATAATAATCCTACATATAGGTCGAGGGACCTGCCCTGGGACACTGCGTCATACTCCAAGGAGGGCAAGTCGAACACCTGGCCGCGCGAGCCTTCGGAGCAACGGAGCGGATCACGACTATAACTTCATACCGCGCAGCCATACCCGGTCTCTATGACGATAGCTATCTGTCAAACGTGCGGCCATATTGTGATCTCTCCGAACTATACACCGAATGGACCAACTACCGACTCGAGAAAGTGAAGCAGGAAATCGAGCACATGCAGGCTACTATCATCCAACGCGTTGGGCGAGGTCGAGATAGCTTCCCATTCGACGAGGTATATCACTTCGCTGAGCAGCAGATATCGTACCTGAAGCGTACCGTCCGCCAGACGGTAGACCAGACGCTGTGCGTAGACGTCCGGCGACGTTTTGATGTCAGGGAGATCAATTCGGTCGGTGAGAAATGGGCTCATGTGCGTGCCCACCAGCGATTTAGGGATCTACTTCCGGGTGTTATGGCACAGACTTTGATGTGGGGACCTGTTCGTCCGTATTTGAGTGACTGGGAGGAGACGAAATATATGATCAGGAGCGGGAATGCATCGTTGGTTCATAGTCAACAAGGGATGTTCTTGTGGGATCCGAATCGGGTTGAAGAGTATCTATTCGGTGACGAGCTTCTCCGACAAGGTCTCAAGGAGGTTCTGTTAGCTTGGTTGTATCGCTTTGACTTGGTTACTCTTGGTAGCTGAGGGACATTTGGCCTGGTTGGTGAACTTCCATTAGGAGGTTTGGGCATTGTTGAATCTCATAACCAATCGGATTGCTGTTCGACAAACTTGGCTTCATTCGATCGCTAGCATACTACGGAGTTTCTAAAGACTAGATGATCGGATTGCACAAGGACGTAGGCTCATGTCAAGATGTATCCCAGCACTTCCTTCTGATGACGTATCTCGATCATTAGAAGAGCATTTACAATCACGTTCCTGGCTATTTGAAGGCACACTACCCTGTTGCATGCCTGGATCCAGTCTGAAAGTGCCTGAAATCATAACTATGCCCTCAGCACTTCACGAAGTTCAACTACCTGATTCCAGTGGCGATCTGTGGGACCTCCATCAAATTTGGATCCTATTCGGTTCGGGCCGTCATGTTGAGCCAGTGTATTCAAGCGCCGAAGGTTCCCTGAGCTTGGGGGGCTCCGGGCGATCTCCCGCCGCCATCCTCAGTGAGACCCACGGCGAAGTTGATCCATGATGCGTAACGCGCAGCCAATTTTCCTAAACCATCTCACTCTTGACTTTCTACCACAAGATCTTGTCCCAGTATGGTCCGCACGTACTTTTCTCTACTAATACGCAATACGTCCCCATTAAGAAATATCCTGACAGAATATTCAAACTTTCCTTTCCACAATACAAGACAGTACACAGATTGTTAGTAAGATCCCAAACCCCCTTAAGGAGGCGTCTCTATGTATTGCGAGGAAAGGTTTGGTGAACACAACCCCGAAGTCCCATACGAAATGGCAGAGTCTCAGTGCGTGACAGTAACATTTTACCAGGGAAAATATAGAATTTAGGAAGTTTAAAGCTTTAACATATCAAGTGAGGACCTGTACATTCCCTCTAGTGACTAATCTTTACTGTTTCTAGTATACTCCTTTTCCCCCAAAGTATAGAAGCAATCATGATCTTGTAAGGAATGAGCTCCATATCGTGTCCTCAACATCAGGATACAATACTTTTAATCAACATGTCTGGTCTCTGCATACACTAACTAAAGTTGTCGATACACAATTAATTTCTTCTCTCATGAACATTCGCATTCAGTTGTGATGTTCCCGAGTTAAGGATTCCAATGCATAGCACCCACCCACCCACCCCTATAGCTTTTTGTGGAACATCATACAAATCGTTGTCATTCTTATCACCCACTCGGCTTATATGCTTCGGTAACGACCCTCCGCAATATTCCAGTAAGATGATCTAGTCACTTACGGACCATACTCCCTGACCCTTAATATCGTAATTACGGTCGAGCGGTGGCATAGGATGTCCACCTAGCTCTACACCGTCGTCCAGCGTGGATTTCATGGAAGATCCTCCAGCCACTCCCGATGCATTGTGGAAGCCATCCAAATTGCCGTTGAAGGTAACTGTGGCGTCTGTCACAGTGAATTCTGGAACATAGGATGCAAATCTTCCGCTATAAGTCCTCTGGGTCTGGTCGGCCATGGTATAGGTCCCGGAGAAATCTCCATTTCCAAAGGACTGGAAGATTCCATAAGCTTGTTGAGACATCTATAGGGCTGATTAACTAGATGCCAGTCTAAATGAATAGTGAGGGTACAATGAAGGTGCAGGATAAACAAAACTTACCCTGTGTGTGTGTGTGTGTGTGTGTGGCAGAAAGATTTTCACATTAAAAGTTGTCTGTCCTCTCTTAGTTCAGATTTATCAACGCTGAATTACAGCCCTAGAATGAGTCAAGAGAGGCAGAAGAACGAGCTGCAATTTGTACCCGGGAATACAGCACTGTACAGCATTGTACAAAAGAGCCATTATGTCATTTCGGGCTGGGTTGATCAGGATGTGAACGCATGACTGCTATGGAACTCGCCGCATGCAGTAGGGGATTTTTATATATTGATGTCATATGTGTTTGCATAGGGCAGGCGGCGGGCCTGCTCCCATTCCCAAGGTTTTGTCTATGCGTCATTAGGTGCCCCATCCCTAACTAATCTTCCATGAGTAGGTCCGGTCGATGACAATTGATCAATTTGTATAATTAGGTCCAGAGTAGAAATCATAGAATAAAATATCAATTATTGACGAAACGGGTCAGTACTATGGTGGTGAAGTCCCACTGGCCAAGGCTAGATCGAGCCTTTAGATAACCAGTGACATGGGTATGATGTAGATGACCTAGTATTCTACCAGTGTAGGGCTTTTCCGTGAAGTTGAGACAACCCATTTGACTATTGTCTACGCCACTACCAGGATATGATAGAGCTGGTGAGAGTGCTTATGTGTGGGATTGGTGGACCGTGGTCCTACTGCCTTCTCCTCCGTTGCAAGCCCGGGCTCGGAGACGAAATCCGGAGGAGCATGCTGATTCCTTGAGAAAGAGAGCTCTTTGTTTGATGGGGCTATCAAGACAAATTTCAAATTGCTTAGAATGGAATTGTAGAGCCATACAGGATGTCCTATCTAGATTCCTGCCTAGTCCGTGATATTGACCATCGCTGTAGTATTAGGCATAGTTAGTGTCCGCACCAATACATCCACATCATCCTACAGGGCTATCGCAGCTTTCCGGAGAATAAATGGCTGTCAGTCTCAAACATCTCATTTTCTGGCCACCTTCACACCATGTCAGGGCCAAAAGCACAGTTGGGGTTGGGAGACTTGGGGCATTTCAACCTGAGCTACTATTGGACTATGATATGCAACCCGATCATTAGATGAGTAGATTGCGAGTCAACCGATTGTATTAAGCCATGATTCAAGCCGATCATCAAGGTTTCCGACCGCTCCCTGTGAGTCTCGATCATCAGTTTCATCAGCATCTACCTCACTTTCGTCGTCCTCCCATATTTCCCGAAGCCAGTCATCTTGATATATGCTCCCCCGGGGGAGGCCTTCTCCACCGACAGAGAACCACGGAAATATATGCAGGAAGGCTTCCTGGGAAGCTATTTGGTCAAAATCAGTTCGCTGGAAATCTCTATATGCCTTGATGCCGAAACCGTCGAAAGGATACTCAGACACAGCTAGCATCGATTGGTCCGAAAACCCGCGGTCCTGAATCATAGTGCCATCTTCCAAGTACCAATTCTAATGATCATATTTGTATTCATGTCGAGAGCACTCCAAGTGGGACACGACGCGGAGGGCACAATCTTTGATGAGAGATGCCCAGGGTGTACTAGGTCCATACCGATAGCATAAACCGTCGTCCTCAGTTGAAGGGAGCTACATTAATCGCCAAACATCTACTCTCAAGATGTATTGGGGATTCTCGCATGTGTATGGACCCGAGCCTGCAATGTCCATGAAGCTTTGCGGACATCCAGTCCAGGGAAATGCGTGCGGGTCAAGAGGAGGCCGGCCTCCCTATACTCGATGGAGTATTTCTGGGCCTAACCCGCTGGCGACAGCTCCAATCCAGAGTGCACTGAAATTTGGCTGGCAGGTTGCACCAATAAAAGCAAGAACTTCTGGATGACTCCCTGACACCGCAGATGTCTCACCTAGGATCTCATTGAGGACCGGATGTAGCCACGGACTGACCAGGTTGCAGGGGATATCATGCTCCCAGAATGCCCCACAGAAAGTTGACATGACTACTTCCGGACTGCAACTCAAAGTCATGTAGTAAGTCAGGTCTTCCTTTACCTTCATCCATGCCGGCGGGATGACATCGATGGGAGAGTATTGATTGTTTTAGCACCAGTCGCTCTTGGAAGCGGTAGTTTGGCAGATGAATTATAATACTTATGCGTTGGGATTGTTAAGGCCATCGTAAGGGCAATGAGAAATTGGCTGTGCAATCCATGCAGGCGAGCGAATCCAATAAGAGCCTCGAAAGCTCTCTCCGAGGATAAGGGTATTTGGACCGAAGATGAAGAGAAACCCCTATGCTTGATTGCGAGACACGTTCCACAAGTGCGCGAAACTGGCCACGGGACCAGAAATTCCCGCTTGGGGGTTCGTCTCACTGTAGCTTTCCATCCTCGATTTGGAGCGAGTATTGTGGTCCACCATCGAGCTACACTATCGTCCGCCTCTCCAACATCAATGACATGTACGTGCGAGGAATGTGGCAGGCTTGCATTGTGGTAGCCAGCCTCAAAACCAGTGTATCGTATAGAATCGTTCTCTCCTTGCATTTCAACCAGCTGTGCAGGTAGGATATAGCACCATCCCATTGTGAGGATACCCATATAGTTGGGTCCCGTGACATTCTCTTCCCTAATTCCATTCCACGAGCTGAATATGTCCTCAGTGAAGCTGAAAGGCGTAGCAACCTCGGTGCCAACTAGTAGTAAGGCGCGACACGAAATTTCTTTTTCGAGTCTGTCGCAGTCCCGGTCTGCTGGCAGTTTCCAAGTAGACGAGGCTTCTAAGCAAAGGTGGAGCGTTGGAGAAATTCCATAAGGGCGAACATGCAATCTTTCAGAGCGGGGTTGGAGTTTCGGGATCCTCTAGAGAGCGAGACGAGGATTTATGAACTCTGGCATCAAGCAAGAATCCCGAAGTTCAGAGGCTAAAGTTGCGAGCTGGTACCAGTATTGCCGACTCTGTTCCACGGCATCGTCAAGTTGTGGATCCGCCAGTTGGAGAATATCATTATCACGAATGATCTATTATCAGGGTGTCAGCATGTTTAGTCTGGCGGATCCTTCTTCACTGACCGAAGAAAGCTGTGGTGGCCGAAAGGAATTGTTCCACTTCTCCTTCACCATAGCCTGCATTGGAGCCGTTTTGAACAAAATCCAGCCTGGTTTTCTTGGTAATATATTCCTGGGTACTTTTGAGTCGGGGAAATGAACGGTTGAGCAAGGGGAGACAAGGAGTATCTTTACTTGCTGGACCTCGCTAACTGTAGCTTCCACAAGTACCAATTATATACAAATATGGCCCACTAATCAGCGAGAGAGAGAGAGAGAGAGAGAGAATAAGCTTTAATTTAGCATATTCGAGCCCAGAAACGGAGTATCATCGCACAGACTACACTGAATACGGCTTGGATATGGCCATTCCTTTTCCGCCGTAAGAATAACTCGTAAACTTCAGGCTTCTCAATCCCACAATATACCACTCTCCCCGGTGGGAAACGGTGAACAACCTCCCGTTTCTGTTTCTCTTCCGAAAACTGAGCTACCATCTGGTATACGAGAAGTACATCTTGTTCCCCTCAAGACTCAAACCCCAGTGTCTTGGATGCCACTTCTGGTAGATATGTCGCACGGCAGGTTGTGCAATGGGCATGTGAAGGATGGGAACCTACACAGTCTTCATGGCCCAGACTGTCCTTGAACGACTAGAATGACTGGGGCAGCACTGGGGTGTCACTTTGCATCAACCGGCAAGCGTTGACTGCTGAGGAGCTGTAAAAAATCGTCTTTTCATCTAATGGAGGTGAGCCATAAAAACGTGTAGGACTAATACATGGTTAAAATCGGAGCTTGCCACAAGGCAACCGCCGGCTTATTACAGGGTGCAAACTGATATATTTGAGCTACGTTCTCACTAATCCCGTGAGGGCACAAAATAGCCCGAGACTATCATCTAGGAAGCTATTATCATGCCTGCAAATTCAATCGAAGAGGATTCTTTCACAGCCGGTAGAGTGGCTGAGCTCACAGAGGTACATCCAGCATTGCCTATCCGTCGTGACAGTGTTGCTAATTCACGAAGGCTGTCGAGAGTGTGCTGCGAGACGTAACCTCCTTTCTTCGCGCTTCCGAAGATGACTACCATGCTCTTCTTACTGAAGGACATCTCTCGAACGGGTGCTATTCCACCGGCAATATTCTAGCGTCCTACCTGAGCCATCCAGATCAGCTTCGCAAACTTCTATCATTGGATCTTCCGGCGACGGGGCAAGGTCTGGAGGACATAGCATCCTCGACGTCAACCATTCTGCGATACTCGGTCAATACGTCGTCTCCAGGGTTTATGGATAAACTATGGTCGTCGCCGTCCGTCCCCGGAATTGCTGCAGATTTACTCCTGTCCGCATTGAATGGCAACGACCACGTCTTTCGAGTCTCTCCGTCTCTAACGCTAATAGAAAAACATGTTGGAGAAGAGCTGGCCCATCTTTTCGGCCTCGGCGATCCAAATTCAGGAGGCGTTACTGTCCCAGGCGGAGCAGCAGCAAATAGTACCGCCCTGCTGATCGCACGGAATGTGCGTTTTCCACATCTCAAAGAGGTCGGTCTGCATGGTGTATCGTCACCCCGTCTGGTGATGTATGCATCTCAAGCGGCCCACTTTTCAGTCTTTAATGCAGCTCAAGTCCTAGGTCTGGGGTTACATTCCGTCCAGAAGATCTCCACCAGTACGGACGGCTCCATGGATCCCAGGGCTCTTAAACAAGCACTCGATGCTACACTAGCCGCGGGAGAGGTCCCACTATTTATATGTGGAACAGCAGGGACAACCGTTCGTGGGGCTTATGACCCCTTAGAGAGCATTGGCAAGCTGGCCCATGAATATAATGCCTGGTTCCACGTGGATGCATGTTGGGGTGGTGCTGCTGCGTTTTCTAACAAGCTCAGGTACAAGCTCGCTGGCTGTGAGTTTGCGGACAGTATCGCATACAACCCGCATAAACTACTGGGTGTGCCACAGATCTGCTCCTTTCTTCTCGGAAAGGACCTCCGTACATTCTGGTATGCGAATAGTCTGACTGCTGGGTATTTATTCCATCAAGATGACAGCATACTTCCTTCTGAATTGTGTCCCTCAGCCACTACGGCCGCAGTTGCAGGGAAACGGTCTAATAACAACGGGGAGAAGCCTTCTTCTTTCAACCGTGTTCACCGCAATTGGCGTACATCCAACGCGGTTCAGAACGCACCGGATCCCCGAGAAGTGTACGACCTGGCATCTTTCACTCCTCAATGCGGTCGTCGGCCAGACGCCGTCAAGTTATACTTTCACTGGCGATACTATGGTGCAGAAGGCATCGCAAAACAAGTCGAAGGGGCCTACGATGGGGCTAAATACCTTGCCCGGTTGATCGAAAAGGAACCCTCCCTCCAACTTGTAGGAGATGTGGATGTACCATGTACACAGGTGTGCTTCTACTACGTAGGCGCATCACTCAAACGCACGGGTTCTGCTCATGACATGGCCACGCAAAACACACATTTTACGCGTGTCATTTCCGCGGGGCTTATGAAGCGGGGCTGGATGGTGGATTATGCACCTGGGTCGGGAAGACAGGAGGAGCTGGGGGACTTCTTACGCATCGCCTGCAATCGCATGACGACCCCTTGCGTCGCAGAAGGGTTGGTCCAAGCTATCTCGGATGTGGTGCACTCAGATATAGAGACCGTCGCATCCCTGCACCAGTGATGGTTACCGGAAATGGAGGGCTGAGACAACTTGTCTTGGGCAACATTCCTCTGGCGAATAGTAGAGATGACTCTATGGGGAAAAGCCGGGGTGTCCAATGTAGAAAGTCTCCGGTGAGGTCTTCCGCAGGGACCCTGCTGTCATGGCCGGAGAGCTCGTAGTAGCTTTCGCTGTCTTTCTCTCCTCTGTTTGCTATGCTTTTCCATGGCGTTGCTTTCACTGGGAACTTACTATCTCTCTACCAGAATCGGAGGAAAGGGCCAGTATTGTTGGAACGTCCGTCCTGGCTACGATAGAATAATGTGGGCAATCTTCTAGAGCGACGTTTCGAATCGTAAGAAGAGCGGCTGCAGTAGGAGCTCTCAGGAAGGAGATCCTCGTCGCTAGTTATAGGATGGTTGTTTTACGGCAGATGGATGCGATCCTTCCAGACGCGCTAAACGGCTTTCGGCGGGGCGATGGTTACTGCCGTCTCCGACCGCCCGGCCTCTGGTATGCCCAGTCATGTGCCGGCATGTTCGAAACCATCAGCCAAAACAAGTAAAATTCGAGAGTCTCTGCAAACAATCACCGTCGGGAATGCCACAAGACACTCACGTCGGGGGCTGCGACCAGACGATGGTGATTTATATCAATCGCACGTTTCCTGTTCAATGCTCCGTCGTTCGCCCTCTCCGTCGCGATTGAATCGTTTGTTTATTTACCTATCAGGGACAACCACTAAGCGACCTTGGCTGGCCGTGCTAATCGCATGAAGTGGAACCCACTCCATCGTATCAGATATCAGCCTCTCTCTCTGCCTGTGGTTTCGCTCCGGTCCTTAATGAGCTGAAACAAGCCCCGACCATCTGATCAAATCTAATCCTAATTCTAAATATCTCACACCCACTCGACCTCCCCCCCCGTTACTAGTGCTTGTTGGTTATCGTCGCGGGGGTAAATCAGTCGGCAAATCATCCCAATTTTTCTCCGAAAAGGGTCCCTTGGAAGAACGGTGGTCCTTCGTCCCATGACCGAGAAATAATCTCCGATTGTGTGGGGAGTGTGGACTTGTATGAAGGCCCGCACACGGCGCTCTGGCGTCTTGTTACTGCGTTCTCTCGTCGCCGCCCCGGTCTGACCATGACCCCAAAGTCTCCCACAACACTTGCGTTCACCTCTTCCGAAATGGTCTCTCAGGCCCAGATCCTAGACCGCTCCCTTCCCACGCAGAGTGCTACTTCTTCCGTATCGCGTCACTCTGGCCGGCGACATCGCTCGAGCCGCTCCCACCACGGTGGGCTCATTCACCAACCTCAGAATGATTTCCCCATTTTCACCCACACCGGCGATGTCGAGATAGTGATCCGCGCAAGTGGGCAAGAAAGGCGGTACCTATTACACCGGTTGATTTTGGCACAGTGTTCAGGCTTCTTTGACACCAGTACTCGCGATGAATGGTCCCGACAGGCTACTACGTCGAGGCCACCCATCCCCGATCCTGCGGTGCTATCCCGAATTAGCGAAGATAATTCATCTTTGTCGAATGGTTCCACTCTTGCTCAGTCTGAGACGGGGGCAGTGTTTTCTCCCGAGAAGAGGCGATGGAGATTTGAGCTAGACTGGGAAAACAAGGCGGAAGACGAGGAACCAATCCTAGTTCAGAAGGTCGGTTCGTTTGTGCTATGTATTGGCCATATGCTGACACGCCGCGGCAACAGCCCCCAAGCTTCTCTAGCACTTTTGGAAACAACCTGGGGCAGTATCCTCCGTCGGTGACGAAACCATCAGGTACACAAGCAGGCTTCGTCCGTTCGATGGCAAACCTGGCCGGCATGCAATCCGTTATGAACATACCGCAGACCGATACGGGAAACGCACCAATGGATCCGACGATTCGCGACTACGATAATCTTTTCCGCTTGTTCTATAATCATCCGCCGGCGCTAAACAGCGTCAACATTGCGACTGCCTACGCCGAATGCAGGTCTCTTCTTGCGCTAGCCGACATGTACGATGCCCTTCCCGTAACGGGACCGCGAGTTGATCACCACCTCCTCGGATTTGGGTCCCGGCTCTTCAAGCAAATCGCGAAATACCCCCCGAGCTACCTCAAACTGGGTTATCTTGCGCGCAGTCGCGTCATCTACTCCGAAGCCCTAATCCATGTTGTCGGGCAATGGCCTGCGGGACTACCGCACTTGCGAAATGGTGCATATTCTCCGCTCCCGGATACTGTGCTAGATATTATCGAGGATAAGGTCGAGGATCTAGAATATCTGAAGTCGCGCATTGACTCCAAACTTTTGCGACTCACGCTCACTACCTCCCGCGGCGAACGTGTGACGCCCACCAACGCATATCTCGATTGGCTTGCCGTCTCCCTCTTCCGGCAATGGCTTGTCGACAGCACCACGCCCCCGCCGGCTCCAATCCTGAAGAATTCTTCCTCGACGCCCCGACCACAAGCAGCCACAGCCGTCCCTCCCAGCCCACTGCCCACCGGGGCCAGGACCATCACTCGGCCGCTTCGAAAGCCGCTACCGCTGCGCCTCTACCCTCCGCACGGGTCTACCGCCTGATTGGCTCGGCCTCTACTCAGGCTTATCTGCCTCATGATGAACTGAAGAAGTTTCTCAAAGTGCACCCGACCCCTTCGTCGGACTCTTTATACTCTCGAGATGTTTTCAAACGTTTTGAGCGCAAGATGGACGAACTCAAACGACTAGCTCGCGAAATCGTTAGGCCATTAATGAGGAATTTCCTCGAGCTAGACCTCAAAGGCGGCGAACTGGACACCAGCTCCGGTGGCCTTCCCCATTTAACCTGCATCAAAATCGAAGACGAAGACATTCCATGGGATTAAACGATTATGATACCTCCAAAAGATCTACGATATGGCTTTATATTTTTTTTTTTTTACTTTTGATACCCTTTACCTATTGCACGTCACCCTTCCCCTTATATCTTGATTTCAGATATCGATTCTAGGTGTTTTCTGATTCGTCTTGTGCTGACGACATGATGTTTTTAACGTGTTACGAAGTTATGACCCTGTCATTTAGGTAGCGTCTTGCACTTGACTGTGTGTTTTCTGGCTTAATATTTTCCTGCTTTTGAACGTCATCCGTATGGTTTTGTACAGATATTCTTAATCTGATGTCTGGGTTGATGTTGTACACGAGATAAACCGGCTCAAAAAAGATCAGTTTCATAAGTAGTATAATGTACAATGCGATATCATATACAGCATACAAGTTCTCTCCCTTCTACAGTCACGAAGTCTCCCCAATTACTTCCAAGCCACCCATCCAGTTCCTCAGCACCTCTGGTACAACTACAACCTTCCGCTTCTCATCCCATCCATTCTCCAGAATGGCGGCCAACACCCGGGGAACAGCCATGGCAGTACCGTTGACTGTATGCGGGAACCGAGAATCCTTAGCGGCTCCCCCGCGCACCCGAGTGCCCAACCGACGGCTCTGGTAGTCCGTACAGATAGAAGCGGAGGTCACCTCGCCCCATGCCGACTCGAGATCCGCACCGGCCCGCAGGCGGGAGGGGAAGAGCGCCTCGATATCGCGTTTGCGGCTTGCGCTGGCGCCCAGGTCCGTGGTCGGCATTTCCAGCACGCGGCAGGGGAGGTTCAGGGAGGTCAGAATCTCGGTCTGGATGGAGAGGAGCTCGTTGAAGAGATCGTCGGACGTCGGTAGTCCCTTTCCGGCTGCTTCGGGGAAGTTATCGGCCCACGCGAACATTTCCACCTTCGTGAACTCATGAACTCTGTATAAGCCCTTCGTATCGACACCGCGGGAGCCCGCCTCGGCACGATAGCACCGGCTGGGCCCGACCAGTTTGACGGGAAGATTCGCTGCGTCGATGTCGCGGCCGGCGTACATGGCGGCGAGGGGGATCTCGGCGGTCCCGGCCAGAGACCGCTGCGGTTTGCTCTTGTCCTTGTCACTCTGTTCGATGGCCCAGATCTGCTGCTCGTTGTGCTGGTCGCGGGGCTGGAACCCGCACGCTTCGGCGATGTAGGAGTAGACGATCGACGGGGGGGACACGGGCTTCCAGCCGCGTTTGCGTGCCACGTTCAATGCGTACTGAATGAGTGCTTGTTCCAGGAGTGCGCCCTCATTGGTGAGGAAGTACCATCCCCAGCCGGTGGTGGTAGCGGAGCTGGTGAAATCGATGAGGCCGAGGGATGTGCCGATCGCGACGTGGGAGCGGCTGGGGTCCGGACTGGCGATCCACTCCGGCGGCGACTGGGGGTCGAAATTGAGGTATTCAATCAGTCTGGCGTCGTCCCCGACCGGTGTTTCGGAGGAGGATAGGTTGGGAAGGGACAGTGCGAGGCGGTTGATTTCTTCCGTGCAGGCGGTCTTGCGCGTAGTCATCTCGTGTGATTCATCCTTGAGCTTTTGGGCCTCTGATCGGAGAGCTGTGAGCTCTTCTGGGGATGTGGTGTTTTCGCCATTGTCTCCTTCCTGGCGGGCGGAAGCGGCGAGCTTGCCGATGGCCTTTTCGAGCTGTTTGATGCGCGAGCGGGGGGTCTTGAGGTCTTGGTCGAGGCGGCGGGCTTCTTCGGACAGGTTCTGGATCTGGAATGGGTAGTCGGCATGGGATGGGTAATTGCGGTCGACGCTGTTTTTGGAGTACAGCTCCGCGTTCTGGCGGATGTGCTTGACGTCCGGGGTTGGCTTTGGGGCGGTCGCAGGACGGAGAGCTTCGGCGCGGTGGGTGGAGGAGGAGAAGGCGCGTCGCGTCAATGGTCTTGCCAGCCTGCAATTGAGGCAGACGTACGGCGTCCTTGTCGACGCCATTAAAGAGGATTGTGGTGGGCAGAGGGGGAAGAGTAGAGAGGAAGTGAGTGAGTGAGTTGAGTTGAGAGTGGACTGACCGACAAAAAAGATGTAGAGTGGGCACTTTTCCCGTTTGGGATGTCGCATTTCAGTTCTCGATCCACTTGGATTAAACATTAAAGATTGCCCACCACGTCGATATTCTAGTACTCTCCCTTTCCGATCTCTCGGAACGGACAGCTGCTTCCCATGCTAAGTTTTCATATTTCTATCGTCCCTTGAAAGTTAGGCAGATCTCTCACACACAATGTAACGCATATTGACCCATCGGCATAAATATACTACTATCTGACAACTTTTCACAACCACAGGAAAGTAGACATCCATGGTATCCCCAATACTCATATACAGCGTCATCCGATTTATAGACCCAGCTTGTGCTTCTTGACTCTTGCCCCAACGCCTGAGATCACCAGAACTGCGCCCACAGCCACTGCCCACAGTGGAATCGACAGCACAGTCAAGTTAAAGGTCGTCCGTGTGGCGGCGGCAACGGTCACCAGTTCGAGAAGCAGCAAGACATACCCCGACAGACGATGATACTTGTAGAGCTTCTTACCATTCTCCACGCTGCCCAAGACCTGAACCGGGATAAAGTACTGAATCACTCCCCCGGCGGCCTGTATGATGATGAGAATGTAGGTAATCAGGCCCATCACGCCGTGAGGCGAAGTAAAGCGGGCATGGCTGCCCTTGTTGACTTCGATGACTATGAATCCCGCGATAAAGGCCGTCACGCTGATGGCCTGGATGCAGTAATGGATGCGCGCTCCTTTGAGCTTCTGCTGGGGTGTCGCAGTGGGTTGGAGGATGAGTGCAGCTTGCACCTGGAGGAGCAGTGCAGATGAGTTGAGGAGCTTCTATCATCAGCTTGTGTTGCGTTTGCGGTAAGCCTCATGCGTTCGACTTGACTTACCGGATGGGCAGAGAAGAGTATCAGCGGATGGGAGAAGATACCCGCCCAGACCAGGATGGCGATCTGAAGTCGTCCCAGTCAATCATCAGTTGTAATACGTTCGGGTACAAACACATGGGCTTACAATCCATATTCCAAACTGCGCCAGACTAGCCGTTCCTGAAACCAGACGATCCGTTAACTTGCGCTATTGTCTCATGAAACTCAGGAGGTGATCTAACCGGTGAACAGATTGTAGATGATATATTGATCCTCCTTCTGGACGACATCACCCGGTCTGCCCAACAGCGGCTCGTCTTCTCGGGCCTCGATAGTTTGAGGATGTTCCTGGGGAATTCCGGTGGCAGACGCCATTGTATTTTACCAAAGCAATCTATGTTAGAAGAAAAAGAGCGATTCTCATGACTAGCTAAGTCTACAAATAAGAGGTGAGAAAGTGGAGGGAGGAGGGGGAAAGAAGAAGAAGAAGCAAAGGTATAGTAGTATTTGTTGGTAATGACGAATTCGAGGCGTTCGATTGGCAATGCCTTGATGTGGGGCAGCGGAGGTACCTCGAATGCCAAAGTACCGGCCATGCTTAATGCCACCTGCGGGACCCCAGGTATCTCCACATCGCTGGTACTTGAGCTGCATCCGGATATCCATCATGTAAGACCGACATCACCTCCGTCATAAACCCTGTTCTTTCTTCAAACAATTTCGGCAATCCCCATCACACCGACGACAGAAGCATTCCGGCAAGTGTTCATTTATACATTCGACTGCCTCCTCGGTGGCAATGTTGGTGTCGTCCCTTGGATCCTCCAACTCAGACCGATAAAGTGCACTTAACGCTCGGACCTGCACGTCTGAATTTGCGCAAGAGGTGTTATCTCCTCGGGCTGTGGTCCCGTGCTCGAGATTACAGGCCTCTACTCCTTGGTTTTGCCCTCCAGTCTGCTGCGTTGGAGTTTGCGGTATCGTTCTTCTACCATCCTGATTGGTACAACCCCCTTTCTCATCAAAAGGAGTGGTTTGGGGACGCTTCATGATAGAAAGTGTCCGGCGCATGCCTTTCAGCGGAAGGCCAGTTGCGATGCTGCCCTTCTATCAGTAATGGGATGTAGATGGCCCGCGTTGCCGCACAATATGCGATGTATAACTGTATGAACTGCGGGAACGGCAGGAGGAGCGAACAAAACGCTCGAACGAAACTTCTGTAGAACATGAGGATCCATATTGCAAGCTTGCCCTACCGGCTTTTATATACATGCGCAGACAATGGCCTTGTTTCAGCGGGTCGACCTTGTGTGAATCACTTTGTCTAAAATAGACAAGGAACGCCATTCGAGAGTGGCATATACCTGGTCGTCTATCCGCTAAGATGCGTAAGGTTCGCGGCAGCAATCGTGCAATCGTTGTTGCCATGGCGTGTCCTCAAAGACCAACAGGCACATAGCGAGCACTCACGACAACACCTTTACATCCAAGGCATCTTGATTACGGGACTTTCCTTGCCAGATCCCGGTTGACCAACAACAACTTCCGCCCCAAGATCCTGCTTGTCCAGATTCATCACAATGTTAAACAATGTAGAAGTGCGCCTTGTGGGATGACTACTCGGGTCCTCCTGGGAACATATGGATTGTGGCGCATTGCAGGTATCGGAGAAAACCTGCTCCCGTAGTAAGCTCGGTGTGATCGAGTCGCCCTGAATGCCATTGTTGACCAGCTCGCGGACGAGCTGTTGAGCTCGCTCTAAACGAGCCGGCGAGCCCTTTATCCATGAGGGCTCCGTCACATTCTTGTTCTCGATAAAATGATTGGTATGCGTTATCACACCATTCTCATCCTCCTTCAAGTGTAGGTCTCCCAAGGGCGAGAGCTCCAAACCAAGGGATGTTGTGCTATCGGCGATTAGGATATGTTGGCTCGAAGCTACACCCCCCAGAGATGAGAGAGTCTGTAATGCATTCTCAACCGATGTGCTTTCTAAGCATAAGCGGAGAGCTACATGAATCGGGACTTTGGAGGTAATGCAAGGTCGAGCTTTTATAGCGTTCAGGCAGGTTCCGACGCCAGCACTATTGAACCCAATCTTCCCTATGATACCTGCCTTCTTGAAGTCAGACAGACTAGTCGATCGTGCCTCCAGATACCGGGGCAGCTTACCTCTGCGACCATGCAGATCCTCGGCTTCCCCGAGATTTCAATATCCATCAACGCTAGGTTCTTCTGGATGCTGCTGGTCCAATCCCAGTTCTGTGCCAAAACTCGTGCGTTGTCGTTCTTTTTCCACGAAAGACTCGTACATCCATCTGAAAAGCTCCCAAGCGATATTTCACTCCGACAGTTCAATGCTATGATATCCAGGATGTCTACTCCTGCGCCTTCCGCTATGCCCTGCATCTCGGCGTATAAACTAGGCGTTTTGCGCTCCAGGGAGGCTCGGAATTCCTCCGCCAGCTGGAGGACAGTGGGCCAGTCCATTTTGCTAGTGTACTGAAACATCTCTTCGTAGAGTCCTATTTGGGACTTAATTTGCTGCTGCAGGCGGTAACCATGCTGGAGACCAATCTGCGTGACTTGTTATATAACTATCACTCGTGGTAAAAGTCAGGTTAGATGCGCATACCTCTTTAGGGGTGCCCCTGAGGACTAGCTTAGGGAGATCGGGAGCCTCGGTATGCATGATGAGGGTGTATGGGTCTCGTGACAAGATAAATTATTCTTTGGGCGAGATGTACAGTGTTTTTCAGTCGTGGGGAGAAACCGAGGGATTCCCATTACTTTATAGCGGGACGCCCCCTCATTCCCGGCAACCTTCTTCCGAGCCACGATTGATAATCGTTTCGTCGTGAGGGGGTGAATCAGAGTTGACTTTGCACTACTGACGATGGACAATTGGCATTTTCAGGTGGACCTCCTTGGGTTGGCACCTTGGGGTAGGTATGTCTCAATCGAGTTAGTCGGGATCACAGCGGAGTCACGTTGCTGGTTCATCCCTAACCGGCAATCTTCATCTACTTCAGTATCAACAGGAACCTCCCGTCTGAGATTCAATATTCTTTGTTCTAAAAAAAAAAAAAAAAAAAAGAGGCAACATGGGGTGCTTAGACAGCCATAACATCACTAAATCCCCACCGCACTAGCCTGAACAGTCCACACGATACCACAAGCCTAATCTCCGTTATTTATATATAGCCTCTGTCCTTTCCACAACCACAACCTCCTAGTAGTAGACCACAAAGGCCCACAATATGCGATCATCACGCTACCCTCAAATAACATGGCTTCTACGCATTACGTACCTCTCATCTAATCATCACAGCCCTCAAACTCTTCCTCGAATCTCCATTCCACACCATCATCCACAAAGCCCCCCCCAAAATGGCCAAAGCACAACACGAAATCTCCCAGATAATCTCCTCCCTAATGCTCATCCTGTGGAAACACACCGATAGCCTGGGCATCCCCCACCGACCCTTCGGCCACGACTGGACAGAAATGGAAACCCACGTATCTCGACTCCTCCTCCTACGAGGAATGATCCAAACAGGCTCCAGCATCCCGGAGGATCCGTGGAACTTCATTCTCAGCGAGTTTGGTCCGACTAATGCGCCACTATCGTGTTTGGATCCGGGCGATTCTTGTTCGCAGTCGTCGATTTTGTTGCAGCCTTCGCGGTGTGCGCCGTCTAGATGTCATGTTCGGTTTCAGGACTCGCCTGCTAATTGTGTGAGGGATGGGAGGGGGTCTAGGGTGATTGCGAGGTCGGTTACCTAGGTTGAATGTGTGTTTCCTGGGGTTGGTGTGGTTTTGTCGGTTGGGTTGGGATGTCTATGTCTTATGTGGGATATAAGTTGGATTGGGATTGTGACTTATCTTTTGTGGGGGTTACCCTTTGGATGTAAATAGATGCATGGTTGGCGTGATTTGAAACGGAAATTGTAGGGAAGCTCTGTTTCTACAAAGACCCCTGGCTGGGAGGCATACAGCCATTCAGGTTTCAGTCAACGATTAGTCGGAAGGGAAGCAAGATCAAGATGTACCGGGACTGTACAGTAGGCGGGATGATCTGTAATCTGGACAGATGGTGCTATGGTAGACCCTCTCGCGCTGCCAAAAGCCACGACAGGGTGCAGTGCTATTGTAGGGCGTGTGGCACGATGGGAAGCTGTTGAACCACCCCATCGCTGACACACTGTAGCTTGAACGGTTGTGTAGCGATTCGCTGCATGCAGCACTGTGACCCTCTCCAACACATCAGCGTGTTACGTCCATGACGACGTCTGCAGACGGATTCCGTCTCGAAAGACGTCGAGTCGCCGGCGTGGTAGTAACAGCAGGAGGCCATCCGGACCACATTCTACAACTTACGTAGATGGGGGTGGAAAGAGAAAAGAAAAGAAAAGAAAAGAAAAGAAAAAAGGATTACGAGAGAATCTTAATTCAGGTGTCGCTGATAGGTAAATAGACAAGACAACTGCATGGTAATTACTCCTAAAATCTAAGCAAGACGCCAATGAATGCTATCACACAATGACTCCGTGATGACGCTTTTGCCCCCTTCACTCCCACCGTAGCTTCTCTGGTTAGCCGGCTCTTTGGGTCGCTAGTCCTTCCAATGTCTTAAATCGCCATGCATACTGGGCTAGTTGTTGCCTCTCCGCGGGATCTAAACTTTTGCCTTTATCTGCCATTTCTTTCTCCACTCCTTTCAGCATCTCCCAGCGTTTGAGGAGTCGGCCTTGGTGCTCTGCAATGGAGACTAAATTGGTGTCTCTTGATGCCATACGTTCCTCGATAGTGGAGTGGTAAGCAAGCTTGGCGCGAAAGAGTGCCATGTCGGATTCGTCGTACGTAACGCCGTCGCCTTCGGGTAATGAGGTTTGATGAGTTGATCTCGGTGGCATAATGGATGCTTTCAGGCCTGTGAAGAGGTTTTGATGACTAGTCTAAGGCGAATGGAAGTTTGAATATTGGAGTAGAGGAGACGAAAGTGCAGGGAATGAAGGATACGAGGTTGGCTGAGAAGATGGGAAGCTCTGTAGACGAGAGACAAATTGTCTGTATATCACCCTCATTGGCGAACGGGGGAAATAGGAAAGATAAAGGGAAAGCAGAAGAAGATCAGAGTGGCAACTTGAAGACAGCTTCAACTCGGTCTCCTTTTAAAGCTCAAATGCAAAGGGCCCACCGTCATGTCTTGCATCATCCCTCGTCGAGTTTTATAGCCTCCCAGGCCCACTGGTGACATCCATTAAGGTGATACCGGGACTGCCACCGGATATATCCTACTGTCCATGAGACGGTCCAATGAGAGCAAGAAGAGACGAATGAGGGAAAAACAATGCTTCCTGACCGGAAGAGCAGTGGTGTCGGGCGCCGTTTGCGCCAATGTCTTGTGATTCTTCATCTGCTGATGACGAAGGGACTTGTAAGTTGCCTCTTCGGGCCAGATTGTGCCACCCTCTGGAAAATACCGGCGCAACCGGCGTCTATCTATGGAAATTTGGTCGGTGGGCACGGTATCTCTTGAAGGCACCGGCTTCGGAATGACGATTATCATGTTCAGACGCTGTCACTGCGATGTTTCTTGCATATGTCGGGGTTACAAACCTACATGCATCAGACACTGAACGGGCCGACCAACCATGGCGGAGGCCATGCGATTCGTCCGTTACACATGGGCCAGAAGAGATGAAGATAAACCGACAGAAGATTACTATGAGAGAGGGAGCGACATGTATCTCGGAATGCCAATGAGATACCTGTACGAGTCCACACATCCTTTTGGATCCAGGGTGCAGCTCAGTTCTCTGTTTCCATATTTCGAGGCAAACGAATGCACGGATGAATGCCAAGGAAAACTCTTCCTTTTCTTTTTTTTTTCTTTTTCTTTAAACTTTGCAAACGGGTGATTCGACGGGGTTTGACTTTGCTATTTATGAAATACATCCTTTTAATCCCCCATTCGCGGTCATCTTCGGCCAACATGTATCTAGCCGTAAATGCGTTGTCGTGTCACCTTGAGCTGTTGGCCGCTGAATATGGACAGGCATCGCGCCTGGAGGTCTCTCAGTTAATCAATACTTTAGTATATGAGACATACCGAGCTTGGCAGTTCAGCCTATCCAATCTGTTCGTCGTCAACGCGTTGGTTCCAAAGTATTCCATGCCCAGCATGGTCGGCGCCGAAGTCGATCACTTCCGACGAAAAAGGGACCGTAAGAACCCTGTCCCACGGTCCATTGCACCCTTCGTCGTTTCACGAGTCCCCTTCTCGACTGAGGAAAATAAGGTCATCTAGGTATTTCCCCCCATAGATAAGGAATTGCGGTTCATGCCTCCATCCGACGATGATCATGTGCCCCAGCTTGAGCAAATGGGTCCTTGCGTATGCGGTGCCATCAGGTGTGGATTCTTGGATATATCGGTGGAGACATTATTTTGTGGTCCGGTTGTGTTGCCAATCTGGTAAGACAGCGTCAGGAAAAAGGTTGTAATCTATTTAGAGCCTGGCATAGCATGGCACAGCAGCTATCCCAGGTTGCCACATCGAAACAGGGGTGTAGGAACAGCAACACTCTACAAGTGCCTTTGCACGTCAGTATGACTGCCAAGTAAGGTTGGTTTTCAAGCTTTTTCTTGGCTTTGCATTCAATTCCCGCTGGGTGTATACCTGCGCTTATCTCGGCAGGCTACTTACTTTCTTCCTGGGTCTTTATCTGGCTCAAGTTTTCGGTCCATTCCTGTTGCAGTTCGAATCCTTTCCATGTTGCATGCGACGGTGGCGGCTATCGCGACACTTCTAGCGTACTCCCTTCTCCCTTTACTGGCAACCGAAATGACCCCAGATTTGCCATTTGTGCTCGATGGTACCGTGAAGCACAATTTTTGACCCATTAATAAACCTTCCGGGCTGGCAAAGCTGTAAAGATCCCACATGCTTCAACTGCGAAATATATGCTGGGTGAAGGCGAGTACAGTCATTAGTTTCAGGAAACAGATGAAGCCAGGGAGGCTACAGGAATCGAAGAATCAAACTTGTCCGAGACAAATAATCCTCCATGAGTAAAAGTATTAGTGAGTGTAGCGGTCAGTATAGTGTCACGAGACATTCTGTATGCCAGATTGTCAGCTCCCAGTGAGTGTTTAGCCTTCGATCTGCCACCGTTCATCGCGCACGTAACAGTATGTAAGCAATCAAGCGGCAAATGGTGATACAAATGCTTCAAGTGCAGCGGGTGACCTTTGACTTGCGATTCTCATAATTTTTGAAAAAAATACCAAGTCATCGCCATGATTATACATCAACTGTCGGCATGTTGTATGACCTTAGAATTGCCGAGTGGTGGACCCTATGTACGAGACAAGAATGTCAACCTGGGGTGCATCTTGAGAGATACCTGCTACGAGCAGGTACTCCCCTGCTATTAGCACTGGATGGTATAATTTCCAGAGTGTATACTAAGGCCATATAAAAGATGTCCGATAGGGCCAAAGGTGATTCTCGTTACGATGCTGAAGCCACGCCTTGTCAGGAAGAACTATCTGATGGCCCTTGCCCTTCCGATAGTAACCTTTGCTCCTGATGGCAGGCACCACGCCAAGGCTGGGTAAATAACCTCCTAGGGCGGTTCGAAAGACAGCGCGTGTTATGGCGTAGTCAGCAATATTCGAGTTCTATACTGCTTCAGGATGGAGTGGGCTTCTATTTCGCGTTGGACGTAGTATTGTCAGCGAGATATCCGGGCGAGATTGCAAGAGCCAGCATCACTCGGGGTTACACAGTCTTATAACACTGGCAGACGACCGCCACGGCCCGAGTTGCTTGTACAACCAACCGTATTTTGTCCCTTCCAGTGCCGTTCAATCATCGCTCATCGCTTACATATCAGCACGCATTACATAGGACCAGCGGTGTCAGTTGTGTCAGCCGAGTGTCTCCATTGGACGATCGATGGTCGGACATAGGTGTAAAGGAGATGAGCCGTGTGCCAACCCCAACACATCTTCGGCTTTTCGAGAGGTTCCCCTGGTATCCACCCATTGTACGTACAGTAAGGAGATGAATAGGAACGCAAATACATGACTAGAGCCGGAGTCAACACCAAATACGTCCACTATCATTGAGTGGTTGTTGAAAGGGTTCAGATGACCCATAGTGTGGTACATGAACATTGCATCATCTGATCCAGGGCAGCTAGCCCCTTCTTTCAATGGTATCTGTAGTTGCCTGTTGGATGTATTAGGCGTTCGGCGAATATTCCCAGTTGGGTTCTGCCACTTTTCTCTGCATACTAGTCTGGAGAACCTTGGCCATCCTTGTTGTTTTGTCGGCCCACGCATTGCATGCGGAGGAAGTACGTGTACGTGATATTCGCATGTGAAGTTTCGAATACTAGGTAACAGTTTCCGGGCAGTCTACTTCCAAGGGCAACGATTGTATCCGGTGGAACCTGGCCTGCTTAGTTACGTATCTCCATTGTCAGATCTTACCTAACCCTTCTCCTGGTGTCCCATCAAATTCATCTGTCCAGAAGGATATCAGCATTCGTCATGTGTGATGGTAATATAATCCTCGTTGCCTCCTCTAGAGTTGACATCCTCGGTCCAAGAGCGATTATTTTCGACTGCGATGGTGATCAGGAAAGACCAGAGTTTCGAGTGCCAGCCTTTGGTCTTCAATCTGCCCGCAATATAGAGAGGAGCTTCTCTACACAAGAAACAACTGCATCATCAGGAAACCGTACTAACAAAGGAAGTGGTGGGAAGTATACCTAAGTCTGTTTGAAATAGTGGAGACTAGACACGCGACAAGCAGATGAAATATCTGAGTCGACTGAACTATGGGGAGACAATGAAATCAGGGGGGGGGGGAAAAGAATAACAGTAAACAGAGAGGTGGAGAGGGAGGGGGGACAGCGGTAGACGTGACCTGAGTAAGAATGATCTGTCCATGTTCGTTGAAGGAAATCCACCAGATAAGGGTGTATGAGTAGTAGTATATATACATACTACATGGACTGCAATTGGGTAATGGAATATAACAACCTTGAAATCAAATCCTCCATCAAGAGGAAACAGAGATTGATGAAGCGATAAGATCGAGTAATTGAACTGAATCAAAAGCCTCAATCAATCACGGGGTCTTATCGCCAAAAGTCACTCCAACTGCTCTTTATTTAAACCGCCATCGTCGCCCCAGATGCGAGTCTTTCCTTCTCCTCAGCAGACTACCTGCATTTGCTTTACTCTTCAATCAAAGTTCTTTTATCTTTGGCAACTAGTTATAGCAACCAAACCCCACCATGGCCGATAGGATCACTTTCGTCCCCTCCGAGAAGATCGACAAGGTGTTCGAGCACACTACCAACTTGGCCTCCTCTGGCCTCAACAGCAAGGTTCTTTCTTGTTCTAATGAATGGTTCGCCGAGGCGTCGAATCTCCTCACTCCCACGCCCCCCGTCGACCGTCCCGGTGTTTTCATCCATACGGGCGCCTGGTATGATGGCTGGGAAACCCGCCGTCACAATCCCGAGCCCTACGACTGGGTCGTGATCAAATTGGGTGTCTCCAGTGCCGCGATTCTTGGTGTTGAGGTTGATACGGGGTTTTTCGTCGGTAACTACGGCGAGAAGGCTGAGCTGCAGGGAACTTATGCGCCGGAAGGCAGTGAGGTTACAGATGCCGAGATCGCAGACCCTAAATACACCGGTTGGACAACTATTCTTCCGGCCCAGCCCCAGGGTCCCAAGGAACGCCGGTGCTACCAGCTCAACGATTACGATCCCACCAACCCAAAGCCCTATACCCATGTGCGCTTGTTGATGTACCCTGACGGTGGCTTTGGCCGACTCCGTGTCTACGGCCATGCTATCCCGGCCGCTCTCCCCCAGTCCATCGCCGGCGGCGACCGCGCTCAGCAACCGGTCGAGGAACTGTCGTCTGCCCTGGTTGGTGGCTTATCTCTCGGTGCGTCCAACCAGCATTTCACACCGGCCTCGAACCTGTTGCTCCCGGGACGGGGCAAGGACATGGGGGACGGTTGGGAAACGGCGCGGTCCCGCACCCCTGGCCACGTTGACTGGGCAATCATCAAGTTGGGCTTGCCTGGCTCTGTCAGTATGATCGTGGTGGATACTAAAGATTTCCGGGGCAATTTCCCCCGGGCTGTGAGGGCCCACGGTCTTGTTGTAGGAAGTATATCGGAGGGAGAGATTCCTGCCGATGACCACCCCGGTTGGGTCGAACTGGTCAAGGGTGATCAGCCCTGTAAGGCGGATACCGAGCATGTGTTCGAGGGTGCCGATCTGGCCTCAGAGGGTGAGGACACCCGCACGTTCACACATGTCAAACTGACCATGGTGCCCGACGGTGGTGTCAAGCGTTTCCGCGTTTTTGGACGGAGAGATATCGCTGTAGATGCAGCTCGCCGCTGTTAATGGCCGCCAATCAACCTCCTTTTTGTGGACCATTCAGCGACCCATCAGGGATAAAGTTGGACAGGGCTTGTACCGTTATTTGATTTAATTTTATCGTATATCATCCTTGGCTTTGTGTTTATCTTCCGCGATCCATGATGATAGCTGCAAATGAACATGTAACGACTGATTAAAAATGACACTAGTATCTGTCTACTAGTGGTCCGCCTCATACAGCATCTGTTAAGTTTATTTCCATAACTTCAAGAAAATGGAAAGTAAGGACTTGACCCTTAAGCCTACTAGTATTGCCTCTAGCTGTGCCCGAAGTATCTCAAGAGAAACACTGTAGAAAGTTGCCACTGGGATATAGCACACAGAAAATTTCCCTTCTGATCTGTGGCTTTTCGACCCCGCTAGCCAAAGTTCCAACTCACATCAAATGAAGACAGTGTAAGAAAATGGCTTCCGCCGCTACTCAACCATGGATTTGAAATCGTTGCTAGGCGTCGATGTCTGACATGCCTTTGAGTTAAAAAGTCAACAATTCTGGATTGGACCACCTGTCTGGCCGCAAACAATGGGAAACTGTCGCTTTCACCCCCTTCACAACATGAACGTTAGACGTTACCTGACATCGATCTCATGTACAACACTGACCCAGACGGTACTGATTCTGCATTGGAGCACTTGTATACCCTCAAACGCTTTATATCCCAGCAGGTGACTGCTCTTAAGTCTCTTTTGCAAACCCACGCCGTACATCATATCCTGGTTGTCTATGATTACGATCACCTCGGCGGCTCAGCTTTCTAATTTCCTTCAGGGATTCAACATTCAGCCAGTTTTCGGGGGGAAAGAAACCATGCAGTGGCCTCAGTTGTTACCTGCCTTCGATACCTTACAATCCACAATCTCGCTAAATACTCTGTCAAGGATAAAATATTTTCTATATTACAATATGGGGAGAATCTACAAGCGGTGGATTTAGCACATTTCCTATATATTCTAAGATGGCCTAAACCAGGTATCTATCCCAAGGCCCCCTTGCAACGCTTGAGACTGGTTTATTCAAGCATTTCATCTAAATCTTTGTGTCATACTATCCGACAATTCAGGAAGACCCTGAGATATATCGAACTGGGTGATGTAACAGTCTCCGGCGGGATAGCACATGGGAACGGCCCAGTGAAAAAAATAAGAGATTGCCCTCTTGTTTTATTTGTAAGATTGTCCATCCGATAAGCAACCCGAACTAGACTCCGAGTAGGCGCGGCATCTACATTTATTGACAAAAAAAAAAAAAAATGAAAGACCAAAAATGTCACTGAGAGAGCAGAAAATAGGAGAGCATAATCCATGGTAGGGCCACGAACCAGTGTGGTTTGACCCCCGTAGGGGGTTCTCACTGGTTAATACAACAGCTCCGGAACCGTGCTTTACTTATACTTGGCTTCACTGAACAGCTTTTTTGACGGTATGCATGTAATACAGTGGCGTCTGTGTTTGAACTCCAAAAGGTATCATGAAATAAAAGGGAAAAGCTAGATCCTATTTAAAGTCCAACATACTTCCAGCCTTTCCTCTTTCTGTCTCTCTTCCACGAGATATTCGCTCTGTATAGCTGCCTTCAGTGTTCCGCGCTACTTAACACATTGTCAGACTGATAGACTTTGAGCAGTTAGCTAGTATATCACTAAAAAAACGGACTATCCTGGGTCCATAGTAACAACACCTGGCTTGGTTTTTTTTTATCGTGGACTTCTGCCTCCTCATTCGGGCTTCTGTCTTGCGGCAACATGCTGGTTAGGGCTGACTATCGGTCCGTCGACCCTCCAGCGTATCAGAGGTCACATCCGTGGTTATCGACTTATCTATTTATACAAATATGCCTTGTTGACCTTTGTCTTCTTTGATACTATTAATTCAAAAATTGAAACGTAGGACTGGAGATACTACTCACAGTTGAAGCAGAAACTGAAACTCTCCAACAGAGTCAGACGCTGAGTATGACTAGTAGCTGAATGTGGTAGACCATTGCGCACAGCCCGCTGGGTATGGTCTAACGGTCCAATAGAATCTTAATTGATTGATCTCTTGCAAAGGGTAGAGACTCGTGAGAAAGCCGTAAACAAAAACCATGTTTCTCTTAGACCGTCTCTGTGCGAGTGTGTGGGTGCCATAAGTCCAGAGCTATGGGATCCTGCACTCAATAGATTCCGTCATATTCATTTATCCCACCCTATCTGTCTATTCTCCTTTGGGTTTGACTGCCTCTTCACGCCATCGCGCGTATACGGGTTAATATACTGGTGTGAGGCTTACGGGGCCGAGAAATCAGGCTATTCATCACGTAGGTAGTATGAGAGTAGGAGTGAAGTGATATTGAGTTGAACTTATGGAGGGTTCTAGAACCAAGGGCAGCAATACGAATGCTTAACTATAAAAGCCACATATTCGTGGTAGGGACAGCCAGGGTTCAGCCTTTAATGCTCCGGCAATATCATCAGTGAAGCTCAGTAACTTACAATTTATCCCTTTTCCAAAGCATGCTAATCTTGGTGGAATCCAATATCCATTGTTGTAGCCCTCGAGACATCGGTATATTGCATCGTGTTATTTAGGATCTTGGTTACTGTTCCTGTGAGAGGGGGGTTGTTATAGATGACAACACTGCTTGTTCATGGAACTTTTTGTGGTTTTGTTAAGGTGGGACGCTGTTTGGATTGGAGGAGAAAGTGAAAGGTTAGGGCTTATATTTTGTCCTCCTACTCAATTGGTTGATGGATTTGAGACAGGGTGTGATCCTGATTACAAACTTATATTATCTAAAACAGTCGTTTAGTGAATCATGGTAAATTGTGAAACGTTCTAGGGCTGGATATAAAAAATCGATCGTTATATGGGTATGCTATGTTGCTGTATAAAGTGTAAAAGAGCCTAGCTAGGTAAATAAACTCCGCTGATGAGAATGACTATGTGCATGAACTGCGGGTCTATATCCACCAAGCGTCGGATGAGGCCAAATCCTCGGAAGAAAATTCCTGGGGTATCTCTAAAGACGGACGAACAAAAGAAAAACCCTAGTTCGTCTCAGATGAATTTTGCTGTACTTGCTTGTCTGATTCCGGAGTAAGCTGGATTCCTTGACTGTCAGAACCAGGCGATGGCGATGAACTGTTGGGTGTCCCAGTATCGTGGCTGACACTCCCTCTCTCCCGCATTGCCAGGCGTGTTTTCGTAAAGGTTGGCACTGGTGCGAGGTATTGGTCCAGCATTTCGCTTAGAATGGTCGACCGGACCGGCTTGGGAAGATAATTGTTCATTCCAGCATCCAGGCACTTCTCGCGGTCGCCCTCAATAGCACTGGCCGTCATCGCGATAACGAGCGCTTCATTAACATTGGGATCAGGATCTCGTCGGATTTCACGGGTTGCATTGTAGCCGTCTAATGTAGGCATCTGTACATCCATCAAAACAACGTGGAAAGGATTCCCCTCCTGTGAGCGTGCACGTAGAGCCTCGACCGCTTGTCGCCCATCACTGTACGCTTCACACTGCAGATTAAGACCAGTCACGAATTTCACGGCGATCTTCTGGTTGATCGGGTTATCCTCCGCAATACAGACCCGGATCTGATCGCGTGGAATCATAGTAAGGTCACGAGCCGTAGGTGAAGGAGAGGTCGTCTTATCACCCGGATCCCCTTTATTTAGCCCTGAGGCTTTTGCGGAAGCATCTTTAACCTTATTGAAGGACAAGTGGAAAGTTACTGTGGTGCCAACTCCAGGGGTGGAATCGAGCCAAATCGCGCCGCCCAAGACGTCTTCAATGATGGCTTTGCAGATGCTTAGACCGAGCCCACTGCCACCGTATGATCTAGCGGTGGAACTATCCGCTTGCGAAAATGGCCTGAATAGTCGTGATTTTTGCTCTTCAGGGATTCCGATTCCAGTATCAGATACCGAACATTCAAGGCGAATACGGCCCTTGCCTTCTCGAGTAACTCTCGCCCTGACAGTAACCGATCCCTTCGGTGTAAACTTGTAACTATTGCTAAGGAGGTTCATGAAAATCTGGTGCAAACGGACAGGGTCACCAAGCACTACCAGATCTGGAGGAACCTTCTCCAGGTCCTCGATAGTTTCCAAACCCCGGTCACGGTGCGTATAGCGCAGCGCACGAACAACCTCCGAAATCGTCTCCTTAATGTTCAGAGGCACCGTAGAGATCTTCATCTTCCCGGCTTCCAGCTTCGAGAAATCCAGGATGTCATTGATGAGGGTGAGCAGTGTATCGGCACACACACGAATGGATTCGACATATTCGTCCTGCTCCTTGTCCAGTTTCGTGGCCTTCAGCAGCTCAGAAAGGCCAATAACCCCATTCATTGGCGTACGTAGGTCATGGGATATATTGGCCAAGAAAATAGATTTGGCCTTCGCGGCATCCTCTTTCAACTTGACGTTATGCTTGGCTTCGGCTTCCGCTACCTTCGCCTTTTGCTCCGCCTCACGAGCCTGCGCGAGTGCGCGCTTTTGCGCCTCCACCATAGATGCGTTGGTGGCGCTAACTTTGCGGACTTCACGGAAGAGCAAGGCATTGGACAACGAAATACCAATCTGATTACAGAGAAGGTGAAGGACCACAAGGTTTCGCTGAGTGAAGGAGTTTGGTTTTCCTTCGATATGAATAACCCCGAGAAGATGCTCCGCTTGCATTATTGGCAGTGCAATCACAGATTTGCCAAGCGGATACCTACCCTGGTAAGCATCCGAAACGTTGGAGAATCGGTCATCCTCGAGAACATTGTGGACAAGGACTTCTTCCCGAGTGCGCATGACATAGTGCGAGATCTGTTGAGCCATTTTGTCTTCGACCACTGAAAAGGGAAGGCCGTCCACGTAAGATCTTTGTCCATTTTCGAGGTCTCCAGCTGCGGCAACGGTGAAGTTATCATCGAAATTAGTTGCGATGACTGCAAAATCTGATCCATTACAGGACTCCAGAACAATCTCAAT